GTCTCACAGCTGAAGGTCAGCACAGTTGCCAATGACCTTGATAGCCTGATCGATGAGAACCTCAATGGTGTCTTCTCAAGAACTGAGGCAGCTAAGCTTGCTGCCATTGCTGCACTTTGCACAAGCGAGACGGCGAGCCAGCGTCCAACAATGGAAGCTGTGGTTCAGCAACTCAGCAACTGCCACTGAAGAACTGAAGCTAGCTGATGATGGGATATCTTTTGGAAACCTTCACCTGAGGTATTTTGTAAGGGTAGTGAAAGGGTAATGATCCAGTTGCCACTGACATGCTAGTGCTGAACATTTTAGTAGTACTGATTAACTAGTCACTCTTTTTCTAATGATCTCACCATTTCATGGTTAGTGTATCACTATCCTTTCAACATTAGAATGTTGAAAACTACTGATGTGTTAGATGTTGAACCTTTGGTTCGGTTGATCAGTATGCAATGGATGCTGATTTGTGAAGCCATCAGGTTCAGAGAGAAATTCAGCATTTCTAATGTAGCAGCTCTGGCCAGCTTTGTAACGGCATTACTTGCATTGAAATGCTTTACCGTAATTCAGTTTAATGCCTTTAACAAACTCACGAAGAATACGTGATCAGATGTTGAATTACGGATGAGAATTTTATTGACCCTGACATGTCATTCATCATTCCGTTGTCCTATAAATCTGCATCCGCTTTGTACTGTACTACTACTAGAGGATTTCTAATTTAGCTGTGATCAGCTTTGTAGAGAATTTGCTTGCATTGAAATGATGTACCATAATTCAGTTAATGCTTCTAACAAACTCACAACGAATGCGTGATCAAATTTAGAATTACGGATGCGAATTGATATCTGGGCGTTATTGACCCTAGTTGGCAATTCATCATTCCATTGTCCTGCAAATCTGCATCTTGCTACATACTCCCTCCTTCCTAAAATAAAGAGAATAAACCCTCTTCTGGGTATGAATGTTGATTAAATAAAGAGAATAAACCCTCTTCTGGGTATGAATGTTGATTTAGTGTCTATTCAGAGTGAAATGCACCATTAATACCTTAACTCACGAGGTGGGTGCAATTTAGTCACCCATTTTGTAAAATGCTCAAACAAACAAGTCACTCATCTTGTTTCGTGGGTGCAAATCACATAAAACATGTGTCGTATGGAGTGTTCGCAATGAAGTTATATGCTATGTTAATTTGTTTACAAACATGGTCACACGATTCATAAATAATCCAATGTGCAGTACTACCGGTAGTAAAATTCAATTAAAGATGAATTTTGTTATTGATAGCCAAGCATAATATGGTAATGTTCATTGAAAGCAGGAGTAGTAGCATATACATGGAAATATAAGTGTTAATATGTAATTTTAATGCTTATCCTGTCCACATTGGTAAAAAAATACATGATGCTAGGTCAATATGGACTCCAATTTAAAAACAAACAATCCGTGTGAAAATGTATTTGGTAACATTTGCACCATCGAAGCAAGATGAGTAACTTGTTTGAGCAATTTGCAAGATGAGTGACTAAATTGCACCCACATCGCAAGTTGTGATACCACCGGTGCATTTTACTCGTCTATTCATATTCATATTTAGAAGTTTTTTTTTACGGAAGGAGTGGTAGTGTTTACCTTAATGCCTTGTACTTTTCAATATTGGTAATTTCTGGCCTTGTAGAAATTTTTAAGAGCAGTTTTTTTAAGGAGTACAGTTTGACAGAATTGCAAGATATTGGGAGTAGCTTCAAAATTTGAATCTCTAAGCAAGAAAAGGACAGTTCCACACATTTATATACCCTGCTCTGCATTTTCTGCACAAGAAGCATGGGAATGGCTTTTTTCTCCTTACCAACACTACCAGACTGCCCTTGCCGTTGGCCATTGGCCACTGTTCTTCTCCTGTGCCACTGTACTGCTCTGTTCCTCGTTTCCCTTTTCTCTTCAGAAGTTGAATAACCTGTCACAAAAAAAAAAGAGAAACAAAAATCACTACTAGTGGTTTGACAAAAGCATGCCAACACTGTTAATGCACAAGTTTACAGGGCTAAAATGCAAACTTTTAAACATGGAGTACAAAAAGCCTTGAAACATGTACTAGTACTGTACTACTACTCCTATGCATCACTTGCACATGACTTGAAAATTCAAATAATATTCTTTCTTCGACAGGGGAAAAAAATCAATTGTACTCCTACTGAATTGTCACAAAAAGGCGAAATTCAGCCAAGTTCCAACAGCACGAGCAGCAGCAGAATCTGCCCGTTCATCGGGGAGCACAACACTGCAAAGATTTGTTTAAGCAAGCCAAGAACAAAAGGACTCTAAACATTTCTAAAACAAAAAAAGAGAAACTAAACACAACCTAATCAAAGGCTCAATCACCAACCACTCCCGCATTTAATCACAGGGCCATTATGCCATAATCTTGTCTGCTCAGTTATTAGGACAAAGACAACCAATCTTTATTGAACTGAGCAGCCATTAACAATCAGCAGTCCTTGTTTCTTGAAACGAGACGGTCTCTCATCAGCCGCGTGCTTTGCTGCAATGATGTTTGCATTGAGCATTGCTGCATTGGCATTTGAAATGTGTCCCCCAAAGCTTCTCTTCTGTTTGCATCTCACACTGTCTCACAAACACACTGTAGATTTGCAGCGCTCAAACAAGACAGCACAGAAGCAATAGAGTGTGGCAGCCTAGAGAGAAGCAGTACTACTCCTCCTCCAGGTCTACAGTGATTTTGGTAGAGGAGCTGCGTATTCTTTCGAGGCTGCAACTGCAATGGCCAATGGCAATGGCAATCCATACTTTTGTGCGTGTCCAAAGCGGTATTTGGGATTTCAATTCTCTCTTTGAGACTTGAGAGTTGAGAGAGTAAAGGGCCACGGCGTGCAATCTGATCTGCCTGGCTGTCCGCCATTTGGTGGTTCAGTTCAGGGTTCAGGCTCTAGCCAGAATTGACTCTGCCCTGTTTGGTGTTTCTCTCTGGAATCATGACCACTCTACTGTTCTGGTTGGTCTAAGGTTGCCGTTGCATTCGTCAGTGTTAGTGAAATCCCAACGTGAGAATGCAGCACCAGCAATTTGAATCTCCTCTTCGGCCGAGTTTAGTTACAAACTTTTTCTTTAAACTTTCAACTTTTCCATTACATCAAAACTTTCCTACACACACAAACTTCCAACTTTTCCGTCACATCGTTCCAATTTTAATCAAACTTTCAATTTTCGTGTGAATTATTGTTTGAAATATTATCTGGCAAGAAAAAGAACTGATAGAAAGATAGGACATGCCTGAATGAGATGTTCAATTTTGTTTACATGCTCACAAATCAAGTTGATGAGAAGTTTCCTGCTGAATTTCTTGTCTTGCTTGCTGGCGCTGAAGGGATTTGCAACTTTGTCAATCTCTGAGAAAGTGTCTTCTTGGGAGAAGGATGGATTGATACTATAATAACACTAGTAAAATGGTTTCTCTTGCTTTGATGGTTACCAGTGAAGTGAAGCATAGGGCGAAAATACTGGAGCAGTAGTACTTTAGTGTCACGTGTGCACATGGTCCCTCCATTTTAGTTTAGCACTTCTGCCTATCACTCGCACGCTGTTGTATGTAAGCTACAGCTACTATGAGTACCACAGGTCCACAGTAGCACTAGCAAAAATATTTATTGCCCTGTCAATGGTGGTCAGTTTTGTCACCCACATTTGAAGCTTTTTTCTTAGGAAAAAAAATCACGTTTTAAGCTATAGTTTCTACTACTATTAGTTAGGGTTTGTTTGGTTTTAAGGAAAAACAAAGGATGCTTCATAAATATTAATCCCTATATGTTATTTGATTTGTAGGAATAAGATATAGGAAAATAAAAGAAACATTTATTTCTTACATGTTGTAAAGAGAAAACATAGAAAAGCTTCCATCCACTCAGAGCTCTTGAAAAAAATTCCTATTTTTTATTCCTATGAATTGAAATTTATCCAAACCAAAAAGCCCTTAACATGTTTCTTTTTCTAGTATTACTAACTCACATTTTCCAGTTTAGCAAGCAGTAATATACGACCTTGTCAGTACTAATTCACACAAAACCTGTGTATTCCAAATAGTACACCACCAGTGTACACTACTGCATGAGTTCTACATGAGACACAGTAGCCTCTTCCATACAAGAGATGCTGTACTCTTTAGTCTCTACTATACAGACGTCAAAAACTGAAACACCTGCATTTGTTGTCCAGTGGAACAACAGTAGCACCAGTGTTTAGATTTTGGGAGGCAAATCAAATGCAGTCTCGTTTCGCTTCACACATTGGCACTTTGGCAGCAACAGCAAAGGACCAAAAAAAGATATAGGGAATCCAAAGCATTCTCCCTCTCCGTGGTCATGCATGGCTTCATCCATGGACCATGGTCAAGGACTCCTTGGTGAGCTGTGGCCTTCAAGGGAAATGTCCTTTTGCCCCAGTGCTGTGATCACTCTGCATTTTGTACCAGCGGCAGCAAAGGTTCCCCCAGTGTGGTCCTTCGGTTCAAGGTCAAAACTCATAATATGTGCACAATTCCTCTACTACTCCATAGTTTTTTTATTTGAGGGTCATAGGATCTGCATAATAATAGATTCAATAAGACTGACATTGATTTTTTTTTACACTTTCTACTATTCTAATTTTGAAGAAAGAGGACCACATAATCTTATTTTTAGCGTGACATGCTTGAGGGAAAAACAGTACATGAGACCTGACTGTTTTGTTCGCCTTCCGTCATCCGACACAGAATTACTGTTTGAAAACAATGCAGATTTGCAGTTTTGCAATCAGATAACAGTATATTACAGAAAACAATGTCCAGGAGAGAAACACCGTAGAGGCAAGACTGAAGGAGTATCATCATGAGTCTGATGGACCGTCTGAAATAAACAGTTTAGTATAGTACTACAGGATCATCAGTATTGCTGGCAAGGCAAACTGTTGACAAGAGTAATTTATTGAAATGAGTGTTTCAGGGTTGCTGGCAAGGCAAACTGTTGACAAGAGTAATTTATTGAAATGAGTGTTTCAGGGTTTGGTCATGTACAGTCACTTATTTATGGTCGATACAAGTGGAGAGGACAGAGAAAACAAAACAGTCTCTGCCTTCATACATCAGACAACATGATCAAGTAACTGTGTCAATTGTTAAACTGAGAACATAAGCAAAAGCTGCTAAACTGAAATTGCTCTGATTGCCTCTGAATTCTGAAAGGTCCGTAACGGAATCCTGTATTAGTTTTCGGCTTTAAACTCTCCAAAACTTCACTGGATATTTCAAGTGAGGAACTGAACATTCTGAACTTATGATGTCAAGCAACAGCACTTTGCTGCTCAAGCATCTGTGTCCACTCAACCGGCCACCAGTCTGGTTTGATCGCCTTAACTCTCACATCCCTATTATCCTTGATGGCAAGGCTTGAATTTTGCTTCAGGGCTTCTTCAAGTCTCAGCAGGCCCATACCACGGCTGCCAAGAGCAGTGTTAACTGTACCGATTTTCTTGCCAGACTCCTTGTCCACGACTTCTGAGCCTGGAGCAACAGCCTGCTTGAGTTCTAAACAACAGAGTTCGAATAATGAATTAATGAGTCTCACAAAATAAACATGAAACACTTTGCTAAATTATTTAGCACACAATCCATACCTTGCCCATTTTCATCTTCAAATATTAATGGCATTAGGCGTTTCCTAATGACACCACGATGGTGTGTACGTGCAATAAGTTCCTGTCCGATATAGCAGCCCTTCTCAAATGAAATTGCATTCAAGCCAGCAAAATTGTACTCAAGCGGAATTGCTTCACCTGATTTAAAGCAAGACAATTTCAATTAATGAAACTAAACAACTTCATATCTGATTAGAAAAAATATCACAAAAGTTGAGCAATGACCAAAGTGATGTCATATTACCCCCAGAATCAAATATTGGCAACAGAACAGACGCTCTTTACGTACTTCAACATATGAATAAGGTCATTTGTGCAAGTTTATCATTGTGCTACAAGGGAACCAGGAAAGCTGCTGTCTGAGAATAAAAGACTCTATACAGTCTATGCTTCTAAGCTATCTCCCATGGAATACAGAATGATGGTAAATAATCCACCACTGACACCAGCCAACAACAATACCCTCGTGTCATAGCTATACAGATCATAACGTCACCTGAATCCAGTCGCCTTCAAGTTGTTAACCTTGTTTGCAGGATGCACACGCTTTCTGGGATAATACTTGTTAAATGCGCTAAAGTAGATTATGGAACCTTTGAAAGAGGTTACAGGAGATACTACTTGGTTACTATCAAGTTCATCGACTTCAATAGATAATTGAACTTGGAGCAGAATGGTTTTGACCAAATTGGAGACAGTGAACTAGAAAACTGTAATGCAGTCAACAGACATTTATGCATTGTAGAGACATCTTCATTGTTATCAACATCATCTCTAGACTTGGAACCATAACAAAATTAATTAAAAAAGGTATAAATGTGAATCCAACCTTTCGGGATCTCAGTTGAGCCTTCTGCAACTCCATTCTCTATCCGCCAGAGCAAGTAATGGCGCTCATCGGCTTCTTTGTCAGACTCAACTAGCGGTGCTGTGGAAAACAGAAGAGATCAAGTGTTCAGATGGATCTTGCTAGATATTGAATATCATGCCACAAACAGTAGGAAACATCAGGAACAGATTACTTACGTATAGTATTAGCTGGAAAGATTCCTCTGTAACCAAGGCAATCCAATCTCGGGTCTTTGAACCACTCCCAACCATGGCCATTACCTTGTGCAGCTGACTCGGCAGCATGGTCAACACCTTGCCCCCATCCAATGGATTGGGCCTCAGGTTCTTGAGTAGAAGGTCCGGTATGCTCCACATTGCGTCCAAATCTTTGCCAACACAGGAATTCCTTACTAACATTGTCTATCTCAACCTTGGATCTTAACCGATATCTGAATGGGCAAAATATCATCAGGCCATAAGATACTTGAACGGATAAAATGGTTATTAAGGACAAGAGGGATAGATCACTGATTCCACCGCAAAACTGTAACACAATGTCTCTTTTTTTGGAACTAGGAGAGCCAAGCTCCCCCCCCATTTCCATTAATAGAAATGAGAATTACCAGTTTACAGACCAAAAGAATCCAAATTCCCAGCTTGCAGGACACACTACAGTTCATGACAGAAAAAGCTATAACACAATGTGATCTCATGTGTCATTATATTCCTCAGCTACAAGAAGATCCTAATTCTCACGTTCTCCTTCCTACTGGATCTTAACAAATCAATCTTATCCACCACAACTTTAGTCCAAGGGGAGCTGCTTCATAGGTGAGTTTGCTGCCAATGGTCCTACTTGAAAGTTGAAACTAAAGTCGCTAATTAGTTAGTTCACGATATTCTTCAGTTTGGAATTAGTAGCCTTAAGCTGAACGCCTAAAACTTTCAATACTAACCAACTGACTCCACACGAGAGCATGAAATGTCCAACCAAACTGTCATCGAATGTTTTACCAAATCAGTCAAAATTCCAACATGACAATAAATATCTAAGCAAAGTCCCAATAATAATTAAGCCACCCATCATGATCACAGTTAAGTTCAGTTTTCAGACTTGAGTTCTCGAACTAGCAATTAGATTAGTTAATGAACTTGCAGGGTTCTTTCTCAAATTAATCCTAACTGTCAACTCACGGTCTGAATTTAATCCACAATCTCTCAGAAATGGAGAATATACACTAGAAGTTCCGCATTGGAGTAACAGCTTTGGGGATTTCACCTCTTGAAGCAAGCGAGTAGCTCGTCGACCTCGGCGGCGTCGACGTCCGCGAGCACCTCGCCGGGCTCGTCCTCCCCCTCATCCTCCTGGTTCCCCTTGGGCCTCTCCCCGGTCAGCGGCGCGGAGCCCGTGCGGTCGAGCAGCTGCGACGGTGGGGGCGGGCGGTAGAGGAAGAGGTCGTAGAGGAACCTCCCCTGCGGCGTCAGCAGCGCCGCGTACGCCGGCGGCGGCGCCCGCGCGGGCGCGTTGGGCGTGGGCGCGTACCTCTGCTGCGACGACGACGAGAGGAGGAGGTCGTTGGTGAGGAGCGAGCGGAGGAAGCGGCCCGCCTCTGGCCCCGCGAAGCGGACCACCGCGCGGGAGGCGAGGCGGCAGGCCAGCACCCCCGGCTCGCCTCCGGCGGCGGCGGGTGAGCTCGCGTGCAGCAGGCGGCGGGCGAGCGGCGTCATGGCCGCCGGGATTGCGCGTTTTTTGCGGGGTTTTGGTTGGTTTTTTTGGGGGGCGAAATCATGGGGGGGGGGGGGGGGGGGGGGGTTTTGCGTTTTTGCGGGTGGATGGATGAGCGCTCGGCGGCGGACGGCTTTGATGATGTTGGTGGCGGTGGAAGCGACGGGTGTACGCGTGGGGGAGAGACGTGGCGGGATGGCTGGTTGGGCTCGTGGCAGGACTCAAGACGTGTTGGGTCTTGTGGATTTTGTGCTCGAAGTAGGCGATGCCGCGAGAAGGAAAGCCATGACATGTCATGGCCGGCACGGTTAAGAATAGCTTTGGAATTCTCAAGACAGGGTACAGATAAGCAGCTAGATAAGCTTTTGGAATGCATCTGAAATTCACTAAACCATTTTGGGAATTCACTAAACTATTTTGAGTAGAATATCACGGTAACCGTATGATTACCGTACAGTTACCGTAAATTTTACTATGGTTTCAAAAACTGAAAAAGTTATCGCACATGCTGAAAAAGTTATCGCACATGCTAATTGGCTAGGCTGTGAACACTGTTGTTATATGGGGTTAAATTGCGCAAGCGCAACTGGGTTTGCCGATACTGGTTTCTTCAATGATGCACGCCTGGTTTAGAGACTACATCTTCAGACAAACACGTCAATATGATGCGCTGCAATACGGGGCAGGCACCGCGAGCATCATCCCGTGCTGACAATCAACTCAAAAGTCAAAACACACAGCATCTGATCACATATAGGAGAAAGTATTTTACATGGACCCTTCGGGGTTCCGGACAAACACACAAGTAGAGCGAAACGTAGGCATTTACAAGAACCGTGTTTTCAGTTTTCCCCATGAGCAAAACAGCAACGTGGTGACAGCGTATCATACATTCGTGCTGCTACAGATCGAAAGGCAGCACATACCCTCGACAGCGTTTTTACAGTTTCCGGTACACAATACAGATTACACCATACAGACACACGAGGTCGTAGGGGACACTCGGGACATTCAGGAATCAGGACTATTCACCTGAACCTAATTAAATTCTCTGGACCTGAATCTTGCTGCTTTCACAACTAGCAGTTTACTGATTCGATCCGTAGATGTATAAGAGAAATCCTTTAGGAGATTGGTATGACACGTGATTTCGGTCGTTCCCCGTTCCGTCTTTGATCACGGCCTTGCTCTCTTCCAGGAAGAGCCCAACCCCAAGCGGATTGCCTGCCACGTCCACTGGTGCCACGGTTACCTGTGGTGCATTCACAACCATGCATTAGTCGATCAGAAAAAAAATGCAGACAATGTCAAACGAGCATAATCATACAGATTTATTTTTGAGGCAAAAGCATAATCATACAGATAGGAGACTACTTTTGTTGGATAGGGAAAAACAGCGACAAATGATAAAATGTCAGCACCACACTAAGATTCAAATAGAAGAGATTTCAGTTTATCAGCAAGCTGGTCTCTAGAAAAGGTTATCGACAAGCTTAAGCTGGCATCATGTTCCATCAAACTAACCTTTTGATGTTATTAGCTGCTAACCACCTAGAATAAGCGAAAAAGTAAAGGTTATGTTCGCTTGTGTTCAGGAAACCCATTCATATCTATCCAGTCAGACCAGGTTCGAATACTCATCAATGCAGAAGAGCAGCAAAAGAAACAACACTTTATCCTCTCATCTGGCATCACGAATTTCATTTAACCTTCTCAATCATCTGAAGAGTTAGTATCAAACTCAGCAAATGTTTTAGTCAACATGTTTTCATTTGTCAAGCTTCAAATTTCTATTAGCAATTTCACCAAATTGGTGAATATGCTACTTGCTGAACACTGCGCACAAGTCAGACGCTAAAGTTTAAGGCTAGATTGAACAAACAGTTATTAATTCATGCTGGAGATCTTCCCACAAAAAGAGGGGAAAAACTTGAGCGCTGAGAAGATCCCGTGCAACAATGGCAGTAACAGGTCCTAACCCATTTTGTAAAAAGTGTGCAAAGTACAACATGTCTCTCTGTGTTCATTTGCATGCATCATGTTAGTATTTGATTATCTGCTAAACTATTAGTACCCAGAGACATTTGCACTACGACTACAGTTTGAGCAGCGTACATCATTTATCCACTATGGCACTATCTATCCACCTATTAGAAATCAAGTTCAATTAAAGAGGTGTTCATATGAGGACACTCAGTCTAGTTTTTCTCCTTGACACATTTCAGCCTACCCTCTCTTGTCTAATATTCTTAGTTATGCTTTGATTTACACTATGCTGCTCCACCAATGAATTTGCAATCATTAGGAAAGTTTTATATTAGCTAGTCTTCAGAAAAACAGGATGATATCATTCTTAACCTAAAGATTGAATGTCTGAGAACAAACAGCTCATTTTTTATACAAGGGCAATTTTGACCCACCGTAAGCAAAGCTAAAAAAAATAATAAAAAAAATCAAGTTTTATCCTAAAAAGAAAATGTAATCATAAAGGTTATTACAAATCTAAACCATTCGTTACCTGGTTCATTATTATTAGATGTACCAGCATTTTGGTTCAAGCCAGCCAAGTGATGCCTAGCATTCCCCTTCCATGATTCCTCGAACCCAGCTAGTTCATCTGTATCGCGTGCTTGTGTGAAAAATATATCCAAAATGCAATCACAATGAAGCACCCAAAGCTAAAAACAAACCTTCATGGAGATTGTGCAATATCTGTGTAGTGTCCACATTGCCATCCGATTTCAGCTTCCTTGTTAGTGAATGTCCCTAAAATTTCAAGTTCAAAGAAAATTAGTGACGGACCTAAACAAAACTATAATGAACTTAGCTTTAGATAAGAGGAAATCTTTGATACTATTGTGCTGGTTCAATTAATGAGATTATAGTTTATACGATATATTTCAACATGGCAAGGTATCTACCTTGTCATGAATTCCTCGAGAGATTCTATGAGTAGCCTCTTTAGTCGTTGTATCAGCTTCCTTGCTTTCTTCCACAGTTATCTGCAGTAAACATAATTACTGTCACTTATGTGTACCAAACAGTGAGGAGTACATTAGTAGGTCTCTAGGATATTTGCTTACTCCATCACTTCCTGTCCTTCGAGTTTTTGAAGCAGTGTAGTAAGCTCCATTGACACCACCATAAGTCACGGAAGAGCTCTGATATGTGAATGTACGAGCTTGTGGCTGCCCTTCATTTGCCCTGTTGAAATCCCTCCGTGGCTGGAGTTGGCCCCCTTGCATCTCTATAAATAAGAAAATAACAAAAACGACATAAACATACCATTGATACAGAATCCTAGATAAACTATAAAACAGAACTGATTCAAACCCAACTCCTACCATCATCTGGTTCTTGAACATACGGCTCACGATTTGCTTGGCGTTGCCTCCCTGAGTTCTCTCCTTCCTCCTCATCAAGCTCAGTAATAATAAGCTTCCTGCCATTACCTCTGGGAGGAGCTTGCTCAAGGAATCCATCATTCCTTATGTCTCCAAATGGTCCTCCCATTGGCCCAAAAAGGCTAGGACCGTGCATCCCGCTTCCAAATGGCTGATTAAAGAACGGATCATCGAAAGGATCCCTGCCTCCAAAGACACCAGAGATCAAGCTCCTCTGGCGACCAAAGCCACCGAATCCGGCAAACGGGTCCCTCCCACCAAAGAAGTCATCTCTTCCATTTCGCCCTCTATCCATTTCTAAGTGATTACGTAGGCTCTGCAAGGTTCAGCAATTACGTTACCTCGAGTAGCCGGTAACATATGATACAGAAATCGTTCAAAAATTAAGACACCATTCATTTCACAAATTAATCCGTTCAAAGGTACAGGAAAACGATCGTGTGCACATGGTCATATGCAATTTCATATTTCTTACAGAGCTCACTGTATCTCCAATTCATTTCACAAATTAATCCCACCGAATTCCACCATATGATAGCACCGCAACCGTTGTAGAACCAAGACTTCAATTTAGGCCATAGGAGAAAAACAACACATGAATTTCCCCCAATTCGCACTTGCAGAATGCTCATCTCACCGATTCCCCCCACGAAATACAGATGCTACCACCGAAAATCACCTACAGGCTCCAACTACTTCTAGGCTACAAGCTCTAGCACTCTCTCCTCACGTCACGAATCAACGATCCTAGGAACAACAGCAAAAAAAAGAAATACACCGAACAAGCTGATTAACATGCATGATTTCCTAGTATTTCCTAACCGCGCAGGCATCAATCAACCAACCTTACCTGAATCTCCTCGAGGCCGGAGCGCACGCAGGATGGGTGGGGGGGGGGGGAATTGCGCGCGCGCTGGTGGAGGGAGACGGGTGGGGATCAGCCGCCGAGGACGGGGAGGAGGAGGATTTGTCCTGGTTTGGTGGTGGTGGGGAGCGGCCTTTATCCGTGGCGTTGGCAGCCTGACGTGACGAGGAGGGAGGAAGACGAAGACAAACGAGGCCTCTCGTCTCGCCTCGACTCGCCGGGATTTCCCGAACATTCTGGTGGTCGAAGGCCCACGACGCGATGCGAGGAAGCGTCCAGACCAGACAGGGCTCACACTGGGCTTGGCCCAACACAGCCCATCCTGGTGGCGGACGTGTCCCCGCAAATTAAACGGAGTTGATAAAAACTACTCCCGTCCCCCCGCATTGACCTAGCAAAGTTTCCTTTCCCCAATCAATCGCCAATCCCCCTCCTCAATCTCTCCTCCTATTTTCTCCTCTCGCCGCCGTTTCGCCTGGCAAATCTGCATGCCAAGCCGCGATGCCATGCCATGGCAAGGCCAGGATGGGTCTGAATTTGTCGTGTCATATCCACTCGAGTCGCGAGTTGGCCGGACGCCGAGGAGAGTAGCCGCGGATCTGACTGCATGACGCGGTCAGCGGGCCTGGATTCCTACGAAAGGAGCCGCCTTTGATCTATAATCGGTGAGTTTCTTTTGGTGCATCTAGTTCCCTATGGTCGGATTTTTGATCTAGTATAAACTTTCTGCCTTTTAGTTATGCGTGTCCTTTCTTGAATAGGAGGAATATGAAGGATTAAATACCTTAACAACTGCCAAGGCACCATTGTTCTCTACGGTGCAGAAGCGAGCCTAAAGTGCCGCTCATTTTGGTTTATAATCGGTGAGATCTTCACATTCTATGTCCTTAAGGTTTCTCAACATGGGATATTTCATATGATGTGATTTTATTATGTTGAATTAATCTGCAAACTTGCTGCTTTGTTCCATTTTTTGTCCTCAACATTAATCCACAAGATTAGAGTTTGTTGGTATGTGGAAACAATAGTAATGCTATTCTCATTTTGGTTGCTCACGATCCTATTAAGTCGGTTCTCCATTTTTGCGTAATGCTTGCTATTCAAAGTGCACTGATAGGAAACAAATTGTATTTTAAATTCTTTCACAACCCTACTGCGGGCTTCCGTAGGAACAATTCCTTCATGTCTAACTTCTAGTGTAACTCTGGGGTGATGGGGTGCGACTGCCCTTCAAACTTCTGGTGTAACTCTGGGGTAATGTGGGTAACTTCTGGTGTTATATGATCTTCGATTGACAACAAACTCCTGCGGAAAAAGGCATTACTCTTAGCAAACGGTCGATAGGAAGTCAGTATGAAGAAAACAATAGAGTACCTTACCCTTTTTACTGTATTAATGATCAGATGTTTCTGTCGGTGTTAGCAGGTCTTCAGATGACTGTTTCTGTCGGTGTTAGCAGGTTTTCAGATGACTACAAACTCTTGTGGAAAAAAACATTAGTGTTAGTAGCTGGCTGGCAAGCACTAAGTAGTCATTACAAATACAACAATAGAGTAATAGTAATTTGCCCGTGCTAACGCTACGGTATATTTAGTATGTTTCCCCAAAACAAAATAATTCAAAAATAGTATGTTTTTAAATTTTTGCCAAAGGGAGTAGTAAATCTAGATGGAGCAACTAATTGCATCTTACAGATATGCGCAAAAAAAAGGTAAATTGTGAATATTTGCAAATGTATCAATTTTGTAACATGAATTGTCTCATTTCTTTCCCAAAAGGAAAGATCTAATAATTTTTTTACCCACAAATTGCACACATTACATCTTGTCAATCTCAAATTCCTATCCATAAATTTTACAATCAGAACTTCACGTTTAACGACCTACAAATCTCTGCCCATGTCTCTCTGTCCCAGATCCGCGCATAACCCATCAACACATTTTCCTAGAGGATGTGGATCACTCCCACAACTCATCACCCAAGAAGTGCACCTAGGTGACACGCATATTGTTATCCTAGGATTGTTGCAGCAACATATTTGATAGTAACATGGTAAATTTAATGTTATGTGCAACCTCATTTAACAGCTCAACTTTTATAATATTAACAAAAATCAATATTTTACGGTACATTACTTATTGACATGTTTACTCATTTGTAAAATAAATTTAAAAGCATTGTACAATACAATCATGCATTTCATCATTGCACATAATATTTTAATCAGAAAATTGCACCAGAAAGCAACGTACATGACAAAGCACAAAAAGTCATATTATTCATTATTGGACCATTTGCTCAGGTGATCAACAGCATACTAATTAGCTAGAAACAACAATAGAGTAACTTACTTGTCTGACATACCATTTGGTGTTAATGGTCAGATGTTCATGATGGTGTTATATGATCTTCGAATGACAACAAAATCCTGTGGAAAAAGGCATTAACTTTAGCAAACGCTCGATAGGAAGTCAGTATGAATACAACAATAGAGTACCTTACTGTATTTAATGTTACTGGGTATTAATGATCAAATGTTTCTGTCGGTGTTAGCATGTCTTCAGCTGACTACAAACTTTTGTGGAAAAAAGTATTAGCGTTAGTCGCCGGCTGGTAAGTACTAAGTAGTCAGTACAAATACAACAATAGAGTACTACTCCGTCCATTTCAGGTTATAAGACATTTTGACTTTGGTCAAAGTCAAACTGTTTCAAGTTTGACTAAGTTTATAGACATATTAATATTTATAGTACTAAATTAGTTTCATAAAATCAATAATTGAATATATTTTCATAATAAATTTGTCTTGGGTTGAAAATGTTACTATTTTTTTCTACAAACATAATCAAACTTAAAACAGTTTGACTTCGACCAAAGTCGAAATGTCTTATAACCTGAAACGGAGGGAGTAGTAATTTGCCCGTGCTAACGCTACGGTGATAATTAGTATGTTCCCCAAAACAAAATAATTCAAAAATTGTATGTTTTTAAATTTTTGCCAAAGGGAGCAGTAAATCTAGATGGAGCAATTAATTGCAACTTACAGATATGCGCAAAAAAGGTAAATTGTGAATATTTGCAAATGTACCAATATTATAACATGAATTGTCTCATTTCTTTCCCAAAAAGGAACATCTAATAATTTTTTTATCCACAAATTGCATACATTACATCTGGTCAATCTCAAATTTCTATCCGTAAATTTTACAATCAGAACTTCACATTTAACGACCTACAAATCTCTGCCCATGTCTCTCTGTCCCAGATCCCCGCATAACCCATCAACACATTTTCTAGAGGATGTGGATCACTCCCAGAACTCATCACCCAATAAGTGCACCTAGGTTTCATGCATATTGTTATCCTAGGATTGTTAGTGCACCTAGTTTTCACGCATATTGTTATCCTAGGATTGTTGCAGCAACATAGTTGATAATAACACGGTAAATTTAATGTTATATGCAACCTCATTTAACGGCTCAACTTTTATAATATTAACAAAAATCAATATTTAACGGTACATTACTTATTGACATGTTTACTCATTTGTAAAATAAATTTAAAAGCATTGTACAATACAATCATGCATTTCATCATTGCACAGAATATCTTAATCAGAAAATTGCACCAGAAAGCAACGTACATGACAAAGCACAAAAAGGCATATTATTCATTATTGGACTATTTGCTCAGGTGATCAACAGCATACTAATTAGCTAGAAACAACAATAGAGTAACTTATATGTCTGGCATAGCATTGGGTGTTAATGGTCAGATGTTCATGATGGTGTTATATGATCTTTGACTGACAAAACTCCTGCGGAAAAAGAATTTACCTTAGCAAACGGTCGATAGGAAGTTTACTGGGTATTGGATGAACAGATGTTTCTGTCAGTGTTAGCAGGTCTTCAGCTGACTACAAACTCTTGTGGAAAAAAGTATTAGCGTTAGTAGCTGGCTGTTAAGTACTAAGTAGTCAGTACAAATACAACAATAGAGTATGTAGAGTACGTTACCATATTTGGCTGTTAGATTGTGTTAGCTATCAGGTGTTCCAATTGGTGCTAGCAGATTAGCGACTGTTTCCTCTAGTGTCTTTTTAACAGGGGAACTGTGCTTGTTTGGGTATTTTTTAGCTTGAGGTTTGGCTTTCTTCGCTTCACTGTTGGCTTTCTTCGCGGCCTTGCTAGCCTCCATTGCCTTTTTCGCTTGTAGTTGTTGTGCTCGAAGGCGAAGCAGATTCATCCTCTCTAAATTCTGTTTGCGGTGTTGTTTAGCATGTGCCTTTTCTTGTACAGATGGTACCCAATCGTCGATCCCGCACTCCTTGCAGTACACGTACTTTAATCCGTCTCTGTTGTCAGCCATCCTGCAGTTCTGCAATATGTCAAATTATTGTTGCATATCTGCTGGCTTCTCGTCTCACAAGTCTTTAATACTCATTAATATTAAGAAGTTGATTACAGGTTGCAAAGATATTAGGTGCCAGAATGCTTAAGGCTGTGTTTAGTTCACGCCAAAATTGGAAGTTTGGTTGAAATTGGAATGATGTGATGGAAAAGTTGGAAGTTTATGTGTGTAGAAAAGTTTTAATGTGATGGAAAAGTTAAAAGTTTGAAGAAAAACTTTAAAACTAAACACGGCCTAAGTAAGCAGTCCAGCAATGCGGTATGCGAAATTATTCACCCAAGTCATAATATAGAAAGTGACAGAATGATAAGCAGTTCAGCAATGCAGTATGTCAAATTATTATGTCATCCAAGTCATTACAAAGAGGTTACAGAATGCAGAGAAAGATAGTACTAGGTGACAGATTGATAAGATGTTGGTGGCATATGCGCTTATAAGCTAGGGAATTCAGGAAGCGCATAATCGATACCACACGTTGATAGGTCTGTATCAAATCAGATACAGGCATCGCTGCAGCCTAGTTTAATGGCATGTAGGTAGATTGTTTTTTTTTTTTTTTGACAGAGAGGCCACGGTGGAAAACACATGCGACCCTTAACAAAAGAACATCTGGGATGCGACAATTAAGCTAGGGTTTGACAATTTTCTAACGAAGTTGTAATAATCCCAAAGCACGGGCAAAATCAGATCTCCACGCGACGCCGACGCGACCAGACCACGCTAGAGAGGCGGTGGCAGCAGCCGTCGTAATCGAAGACGAGAGGAGGTTGAACTGGAGAATCATGGTGCGGGTGCGTGGATCAGGCGAGCGTCGAGGCGGTGGAGAAGTAGGGCGCTTCGTACGCCTCGCGGAGCCGGGTCTCCACCTCGTCAACCCTTTGGCCGGCGAGTGCGTCGCTGGCGCTCTCTCTACCCGCGTCCAATCCAATCCCTCGACGTCCGTGTCGAGACCAAGACCAAGACCAAAGGTTTCTTCGGCGCCCGTTCCCTTCTCGATAACGCTGTCTTTTTGTTCGTTTTTTTTAACTAGCAAAAATACCCGTGCGTTGCAACGGGTAAAAAAATTCTAATAATAATATACGTTTTTCATGTATAATCATGTCAATGACAATGTTTCTATTTTAACGAGCGGCTTGTTTTTTTATAAACAGTGTTTTTTTTCTTGCGCGATTTTCTCAAACCATTTTTCAGAAAAGGCGCATTTCTTTCTAATAGTTTTTTCCTACCATGTTTTTTTTGCTTTTTCACTTACGAAGAAAACCATATTTTTCTCCTTTTTTTGCTTTTCTTTTCTCGTGTGTTTTTTCTTGTTTTCTCCCACGTTTGTTTGCTTGTTTTTTTCGAAGGATCTTTTTTGCTTTTTTCAAATACAGGAGAATATATGACAAAATAAAGCCACATAGTAGATGGCAAAAAATCGATGGATCCTATCCGACTCAAGCGTCCATCAATTTAGCTTTTTTCTGACAGTTTTTTCAGAACGATTTTTTTTAATAGACGGTGTTTTTTTCTTGCACGGTTTTTTAAAACAATTTTTTAGAAATGGCGTGTTTTTTCGACAGTTTTTTCCTTGCATGTTTTTTTTAAAATATTTTACCGACAATGGAAATAATTTTTCTCGCGCGTCTTTTTATTTTTTTTATTGATGATGGAGAACCTTTTTAGCGTGTTTTTGCGCTTTTTTCTGACTTTTGCCTCACACGTTATTTTAACCGTTTTTATTTTCTCATGCATTTTCTCTTTTTAAATAGTTAGATTAGAGATAGAGAAGAGATATATACTGGTTAGAAATCAGATTTTGTTTCGCCCTTTCCATTTTTTCTCTCTTGCATTTTTTATTTTATACGAACCAGCTTTTTATTTTTTACGAACCATTTTTTCACCATTTTCTTAGGAAATCGAACGAACTTTTTTAGATGTTTTTTTGCCTTTATAGGAATCAGACTTTTATTCTGTTTTTAAAGGATTCGAATCTAGTTTTTTTTTGTCACCACTTTTTTTTTGCCTTTTATATGAATCCGATTTTTTTCCGTCGGATCTACAGTTTTTTTGGCCACTCAGGAAAAAAAACTTTTGTTGTTGTTGTTTTTCTTTATTTTCTTTTTTGTGCAGCTTTTCTTTTTTCCTTTTATGCACCTATCTGTCTTTGTTCTCTTTCTCTTTTATTATTTTTTTTAGCAAAAACAACCTCAAGTAGCTTGTTGCAAGATTATAGGGACTCAAATGTAAATATAAAAAATACAGGGACTCAAATATAAAAGTACAAATCTAAAAATTAAAATCATATAAAAATGGAATGCTCTCTACATGTAGATTCCGTTTTTGCTAACAGATCTTCAATCCGGCACATTAATTTTTTTCACCAATCTGAGTCAGACTTTTTTTTTTTTGCTTTTCTTTTTCTTTTTATGCACCTTTCTGCCTTTGTTCTCTTTCTCTTTTATTTTTTTTAACAAAAACGACCTCAAGTAGCTTGTTGCAAGATTATAGGGACTCAAATGCAAATATAAAAATTACAGGGACTCAAATATAAAAGTACAAATCCAAAAATTAAAATCATATAAAAATGGAATGCTCTTGACATGTAGAGTCCGTTTTTACAAACAGATCTTCAATCCGGCAGATCAATTTTTTTCACCAATCTGAGTCAGACTTTTTTTTTGGTTGATATAGGAGTTGGACTTATTTTTTTTTATCGGACAAACATGGTTTTTTCGCCTTTTTTCTGTGGATCGGACTCTGTCCGGTTTTTTTTGGTTTTTTTCGCCTTTTTTTTCTGTATCGGACTCTGTCCGCTTTTTTTTGGTTTTTTTCGCCCTTTTTTCTGGATCGGACTTCTTTTTCCGTTCTGGTTTTTTATTGGATAAACCTGGTTTCTACCCGGTTTTTTTCACCCGGTTTTTTTGACGGACGATGGAAGCACCTCTTATTTTTTAAGTAGTAGAGATAGAGATTATAGGGTAGCCCCTATACGTGTTACTACGCTAGATCGATCCACTAGGAAGGTTCAATCCCGCTGGTGAGGGATTTATTAGTTATCTTATCTGGCGATCTGCTCTTCCGATTCTAGATCAGTAAAGGTTTCTCGGACCTGACAAGATCCCATCATACTGGATGCTAGCTTTGGTTTCTGGATTCTCTATTGTTGAAGTTTTTAGCTGATGCTATTTTGGCATGTTTCCTTGTATATGGTGCGTAATGCATGGCCGAATGGTCACTGGCAGCGTATTGTGCATGACAGATTGACAGGTTACTGATTCCTACTTTAGGCCCCTGCGTGCTTGATCCATCGTGTAGGTTCAATCCTAGCCAGGTTGTTTGAAATATTTGTGAAGTATCGGTGCTAGATTGTCTTTTAAGCCTTGTTCGTTTAATCCCTCTCGTGAGAATTGAGAGGGATTTGAATGGGATTTATTCTTCAATCCCCACCAATTCCTCTGTCTTCGGGATTAAACGTACAAGGTCTGTCTTCGGATTAAATGAACAAGAACTTAAGGGAAGTGGTACATCTAATGAGCTTTAAGTCTGTTGATGTCTCCATGACAGTAAAAGACTGTTCCGTACTTATTGTATATAAAACTAACCCTGAGAAATTAGGTTTACGAAAAAGCATCATTGACTACATGAATGACTTATTTGAGCAGTGAATGTTGGTTTTTCTTTTCCCCATTTTCTGAGAGATTGTTTTGGTAGGCTGTCCATGGTAGCCCAATTAATCACGCATTGTAACTATGTGATTGTCTAGATCTAGTGCTTTTCAATGAAGTGAAATATTATTTTCATTGATGGAACTTACTGTCATTTCTTGCTTTTTTTCGTTACTTGATGGAACTTCAATCTTCTTTTCTTCTGCAGGATTAGTCTTTGTTCAGCTGATCTGCGCAATCCAATACCGAGTCGTGAAGGAACATGCTGATGATGCATTCTATGAATTGCAGAATCCCCAACAGCAAATTCAGGCCTATGCCTTTGATGGTAAACTATTAACATTGAGCAATTAAATAGTTGCCCATATCAAATTATTGACTCAAAGCTTAATCACTTTCCCCTCGAACTTAGTGGTCCTGGCCCTAGTTCCAAGAATGAATCTTGATGACCTTTTTGAGTAAAAGAATGATGTGGTGAAGACTGTACTTGAGGAGCTTGAAAAGGTAACTCAAGTGCCTGTTTTTACTGAGTCCAGCTCTCTAGGATTAAGTTGATCGGCTGATTATGCAAACTCCAGTAAGGCAAATCATTGTTTTTCCTTGTTTGCATGTATTGCATTCTGCCATGGTCCCAGGGACGAAGCTAGCATCAAAACAAGGGGGTGCACTACCATTGAAAATCTAAAAAATTTCAGTACAACACTGTACATTCTAGTGTTTTTAAGTGAGAAATTAGAAATTTGGGGGGTTCATGTGCACCCCCCAAGCATAGTGTAGCTTCGGCACTGCATGGTCCATCATTCCATGTACCGTTGTCATCCTGTCAGGATTCTAAATCTAGTCAAACACATTTTTGTGTTAGCTGAAGTATTATTCTCTCTTTTTTTTTCTCTTGTGCACCTATTTGCATGTTGAAAGAGTTGGAATCTTTGTTTGGTATACATTTTAAGCATGTTATTTCGTTACCCACAATTCATACTATTCTTCCAAGATTGGTTTACATGCTTATGTGGAATTCTAGTCCCAGAATACTGTTTGATGGAACTTGGCTGTATCAAAAGGAAATCTGGCATTGGGCTGTCTGCATCGCTTATCTTTCGTTGGAAACTTACGTGCTTACCAAATTTTAAACTCTGTGATTGCTTCTTCCTCAAGTGTTGGATATTCCATTCATGATAACCAATGCTCTCTCTGTTCGTTCTAAGTTCCATTCCTAATGTGTAGTTTTGTCCTCAAACATTTTTTTATCTTAGTACTTGTTAGTGATAAGCAGTTTATTATTTGTACCGTTATATATTATATGCCATCTTTGTAAAAAAAGACTGTTCTGTAGTCTATACATCGAACATATTCTTATGGTTGATATCATCCCTGATACTTCTGTACGCAGAGCAATGAATGACATAAATGCAGGTATTATTCCCTTTCAAGTATATATGGTACTTCTTTCAGTCTGTGCAACCTGCATGATGTTTATTAGTCTATTTAATGTTGTAATGTTTTCTGAAGTAATAATCTGTCAGACTTCTTAATTGATGATTATAAGCTCTCTCTCTCTCTCTCTTCTACTTATGCTTCGTTTGCTTTGTTTTCCGATGCTTGTAGTGTTTGGAGTAGCTGCTGTGAAGCTAGCCCACAACGTGGGTAAGGTTGTCTGTTTGGGGGGTGGGTGTGTTTTGTGTGTGTGTGTGTGTGTGTGTGTTTTGGTGTTTGGGGGGGGGGGGGGGGGTTCTGGCTCTGCATAGCACATTTTAGAACCATTGTCAAGTATGTAGCCTACTGCAACTTGCATAGGACCAAAGGGTGATGTTTCTGTGTAGAGAAGTTAGATGGCGATGAGTCAATGACTTGAATTAGAAATGCTCTAGGTGAAAGGGAAAGGAACAGATCTAGAACTACAATTGGAATTAGGCCAATCAAGTACAGACCACTGAAACTGAAGACTTGAGGGGCTAATCTTTGCTAATTAATTATTCAGTCTTAGAATCATGGCTAGGATCATATATAACCTAACTAATTAATCTGAACTAGAAAACAAGCTGAACTAACTATTCTTAGGTAGCTAGTTTGCTTTTGCCAACTCTGGACGCTTGTGCGGTTTCTCCTGTTGTCCTGCATGATGCTAGACTATTGATCATTGCTGATTGCTCATACAGTCGCACTGGTATATTGCTGTAGTAGACCACATATATATTATAATGTTTCATGTTCAGTTACCTTTCATGTTATCTCCATGTGTGCTCATAACTAGTTAACTCCTGTCACAGCCCAAAGTCTTCAGCTTGCAAGTGTCTACAAAGGGGAAGCAGAAAAGATTCTTCTGGTGAAGAAATCAGAAGCAGAGGCAAAAATACCTTTCTGGTGATGGCATTGCTAAACAGAGGCAGGCTGATGGCCTGAGACAGTACCACAGCAAAAGAAGTCATGGACCTAATCATGGTCACGCAGTACTTTGACACCATAAAAGAACTTGGGGATGGCTCGAAGAACACAACGGTGTTCATACCTCAAGGCCCAGGCCATGTCAAGGATATCAGCGAGCAAATCCGGAATGGTATGATGGAAGCGTCAAGCAACAATGTGTAAATTGTAGCGATTCACAGAACAAGGTTGGGGATGGTTCAGATGGGAGGAGCCTGTTGTTTATAATGAATATATTACCTTTTGTTTATAGCCTGTTGTCAAGCAACACTAGCACCTTTTGTTTGCACACCTACCTGGATGATAGAATATGTAGTTTTGGAATAACAAATAATGTTTGGAAGGTATAAAAGGAACAGGATATATATTAAGTTAAGGAAACTGCATCGATTTATACACATTAAAAGCCTGTGCTTGATTATTTTGAGCATACGCTTCTTCGGTAAAGAGGAATCAAACGATTCAAGTGGAAGTATCAATAAGATTGGCAAAATTTCTCTAAACATTAAAGTATCAATAAGATTGGCACCTATGTACGTGCAGGAATCATCCAATACGGGCGGCACCATGTACCATCAGCCGATTCAGCAACGCCTTTGAAAGGATCCCTCACTTCTTCCGTCCTCTTCCCAAGCTCATACACGCGCAGCCGACGATCCCCCGGGTTCATCCAGTAGATGCTGTTGGGCAGCAACCCATGGCGGCGAGCCCTGCACCACCCAGCTGCTCCCATGTCGTTCCTCCTGCCGCCGACGAGGATGGCGCGGTCGCCGATGCTCCCAATCCTGACGTGCTTCCGCTTCTCCAGGTCCACCCTGTACACGGCCACGTCGGCGACGACACCGCCACCGCTTTCGAAGATGAACACCAGGTGGAGCTTGCCGTCGACGTCGACGGAGAAGATGGAGGCCACGAACATGTCCGTCGTGGTGAACGGGCTGGCCGGCTTCATCCGCACGGTGGTGAACACCGGCTCCGGCGAGAGCTCGAGCACGCCGTACGCTGTCGACCTGATGAAGTGGTACAACTTGCCGCCGCACGACGTGATGCAGTGGATGGACCGCTTCATCCGCTGCCGGCCTTCGATGTCCATCTTCCGTGTCCCGATGTCGTACTCGTGCCTCACCCATGCCGCCGGCGACGACGACGAGGAGCCGACGTGGCAGAACAATATGAAGCAGCTTCCCGGCGGCTCGACCATGACCACCGTGAAGCCGCCGCCGCCGTCGTCGTCGGTGGGCTTGCCGGATAGCGCGCAGAAGGAGTCGGCCGGCGGCGGCGTCGTCGTCGTCTGCCCGAACGACGGCAGGACGATCCTGCGGCGGCCGGCGGCGTGCGGGTTCCACAGGAAGGTGGCGAGAGTGGTCGGGTCCCAGGTGAGCACCCAGCCGTGCGAGGTCACCCAGCTCCGCTTGTCCCGCAGCTCCTCGAACTCGCAGGGCCGGTGCACGCCGTCGGCGACACTGTACAGCGTCGTGGGGCGACGTTGCTCGCCGCCATCTTCGCCGTAGTCGAAGACGAGGCACGGCAACGCCTCCGGCTGCTGGCGGCTTGTCGACGCCGCCATGTTGCCAACGGCGTTTTACTTACGTACGGACACAATTCAACGCACGGTTGACTTTAAATAGATTGCCGTCTTGGCGGCCTATGAGAGTTGGTCTCGGACACCGGGCCGGTTTGCATATGCGTTACACACACCTCAAGATGTTACCCTTAATCTTAATTAATTGTAAAATTCCTATTAGGATTCTTGAAAACTACCCACCTGGCTAATCATCATCCGTTTCGATCTATCCATCAAGTTATTTCGTAAGCATGTGTCACTCAAAATTTTATAGAATTAAAACAATGCCATCATCGTCATATTTTCCATCTCCTTCTCCATCCGCCAGTGGGGCCCACACGTCAGATTCCTTTTTTCCTTCTTTCTTCCCAGGTAGAGTAGAGGGAAGAGAGTATTGGGGTGCCGGTGCTCCGGTGGCTAGGAGGAGGCAACGCAAGCAGCCGAATGTGTTCCCGAGCTTGGCTCACTCGAAGAAGGTGCCGGCCGGTACAGGGAGATGGTCAGAACGGCGGGTGGAAGGGCTTGGCCCTGGTGGCAAAGAAGGTGATGGTGGTGGCAGGATGGGGTGGCTAAAAGAGAGGGGAAACTAGGGGAATATGTTCTCGTCGGCGAGGCAAAGCCGTGGTGCGAGGGGAGCCGTTGAGGGAGATCGACCAATGGCAAGGTGGTGGCCGGACTTGAGGAGCGCGCGTGGAAGGAGCTCGTGGCAGGGGCGAAGCCCAGTAGAAGCCCGTGGGTGCAGATGAACCCCCCCAAAAAATATCTTTTAGTTATTACCTCCATATCTCGGCCCTATATGCACCCCCCTCAGCCCAATATAGTGCACCCACAGCCCAAACAACAGTTCAGTTAACATGGTAAGCCCATGAGCAGGCCAGTAGGGTGGAAGCCAGATCGATGTTTTCTCCTCTCGACTTCTCGTATCGTGTGCCGCGCCGCCGCCAGTCTTGATGACTCCGCCTTGCGTCTGTTTGGCTTCCACACCGCTGCTCTCAATCAGCCAATCCCAGTCAGCACTTGCCCATCTCGGCATCTCGCCGTCGCCGGTCGCCCTCTTCTCAGTTGGCGACTGGCTGCACATGCGTTGCGCACCGCCGCGGCTAGTCTCACTAATCGTCCAGCCGCAGGAAGGCAGGAAGCCGACAGCTAGGCAACCAGGAGCTAGCGTCACAAGCCAACAACGACATCAGTCCATCTCCACCAACTGATCAGCACACAACCACACTGTGCGTTAGTAGAGCCAAGGTAAGAAACATGCTTCATCTATTTCTTTTTCAATCAATTTAATTTATTAGATACGAAGCCCTAAAATTTTTATTGGTTGTTAATTTTTACATTGTAGGACTAGGAGGCCAGTAGGCTTCAATTTGGGGTCCTTCAGAATCGGAGTAAGATTGCAGATTGGAGGAAAAAATTGAGAATTTGAATTGAAGGTGCAATTTGGATGTAAGTCATGTCAATTTTCATTCTATTTCTTTAGTTGAATGAATGATAAAATCTCTACACATTTACATCTTCATGAATCATCTTTTGCTCATGGGTCAGTAGCCATTTATCAATTTTATTAGTGGTTTTCTTCATTTTAAAAAAACAATGTTTGCCACTTCTTTATTTTATTGATGCATTTATGTCTTTATTGTTGATGTCAAAAATTTATCGATCAGCGGTTGCATTGAAAATTTAGCTTGAAGTTATATATATATTGATATACTTGTGGTACAATTATGAACCCCCTCCATTTCGCTATAGCTTCGCCCCTGGCTCGTGGTAGCCGTCGGAGGTGTTGGGGGACAGCAGCGTGTAGGGGAGCCTCGCCGGGCCCGTGCAATTCCTGAGGCGCGGGTCCCGGTTCATCTCCGCGATGCGCGCCTTGATCCCGACAAGGCGGTCGCCGAATTGCCGGAATGCCTCCTTCGCTGTGTCCAAAGTCCACTCCGGCGTGTCGCGCTGGCCGAGGTACACCTCGTCGTCGGAGTGCTTGGACAGTATCTCGATCAGCGAGATGCCGCGGAGCGTGCGCCGCTGGCCGGCGATGGTGCGGAGCTCCACGTACTCCTCCGTGTCATCATGGTGCTGCACGACTTGAGCAGCGCCGCCACGGTGGTCATCTCCGGCCACCATGCCCGGTCCTTGGTGTGGACCACTCGTCCTCCCCAGCCGTCCTCTTCACCATGCATTGACATGCGGCCGGCACGGGATGGAGCACGAGGGCACGGCCGCACGGGATGGCTGTGCGCATGCATTGCAGAGTGAGATGCAGAGAGGGAGACGGGAGAAAGGAAGAAGATGGAAAGGGAAGTTATGGATGGAAAAAGTGACGATAGTGGCACAATTCTAATTTTATAAAATTCTAGTGGCATCGTTACGAATAAATGAATTGTAATGGTATTTTTTTAATAGGTAAATTTGCAATGGCATGGATTTAATTAACCCATAATCAAAAGGACGTGAGTCCAGCAACACTATATTCCGTACTTGGGATTTGATTGATGATCTTATGATTCCACAGCTAATTAGGGTTTAATCGATGGCGGTTTGATGACCTTCTGATTCAATGTTTATTTGTTTCGAAATAGAGATACAAACTGAAGGATTATTTTCTTTTTCACAAACATGCAAAAGCTTTGCGTGTTTAAGGATTATTTTGCTTCTGGTAGAAACATTGTTCAGTTTGTTCATTCAATGATTCAATCATAGATCGAACTGATACTCTGACAGAAGTAATGTACGCTTTGACTGAAGAAGTGTTATCATCATCTACGCCTTGCTCTGACCACCAACTGGCACAGCCATACTACTAGTCGCTTTGATTTTTTCTTGTAAGGTTTGTTCATTCATCTTATTTAAAAAGTTAATGTAGATATAAAAACAAAGAAGTCATACTTACAATATTTTTTGATAATAAAGCAAATCAAAAAAAATAATAATTCCATAATTTTTTGAATAAGACGAAAGCTCAAAAGTTGAAAAAAAAACTCAAAACGATAAGTATTCTAGAACGGAGGTATTATTATTATTATTATTATTATTATTATTATTATTATTATTATTATTATTATTATTATTATTATTATCATCGCCGCCTTCGTCGTCGTCATCATCTTCTTCTTCTTAAAATATCCCAAAGAAGTTTTAGATATCGAATTACCTTACCTAGTGATATTTGACATGTATTGTCCTTATCGGTTGGTTGAACCGACAAATGCAGAAGGTGAAGACACTAGGTCCAAGTGGTCAAGGACATCTCAATTGATAAGCTTCGCATTTATTTAGTTTACAACAACAGATGAATCAAAATTATACCTTATTGGGTACAACAGAAGATTACATGTACAATTTTTTTAAGATGGTGCATAATATATTTCTTATATTAGTCTTCTTATTGGTGACCGACACAAGTAATATGTCCTTATATTTTCTTTATTATTGCCCTTGTGCCGAACAGATAACAGTGATGAGCTATTTAGGTCAAAATCGTTTTTTTTTGGGAGAGGGGAGGGGGGAGGAGGGAATATTTGTTATCGACGACGACAGCAACGCCGACACCCGGGCGCCACTGGCCGCGACGACGACGACCTTCGCGACGCGGCGATGGCTCCCTCCTCTCCTCCTCGATGGCGACCGACGCGCTGCCGGCTCCCTCCTCGCCGCTGGCTGGTCTCGGGGAGGGGAGGGGAGGGGAGGGGAGGGGAGGCAACGCGCGACGACCGACGGCGCCGACACAACGATGACTGCCGCGAGGATGACGACTGCTGTGACCACGATGCGACGACGACGAGACGATGCCTGTGGGGGCGGCGACGGACGAAGGAGGAGGCCGGCGGTGGCGATGCGTTTTTTTAATTTGCTAAAATGCTTTTTACAGGCGGGTGACTCTACCGTTTGCGAAGATGTTGCCCCCTGCGAAAATGATTTTTGCAGACGATAGCTTACCGACGGTCCTTTTCTCCGCCTGCGAAAACTATTTTTGCCGCCTGGAAAAATATTTTTTCTAGTAGAGTCAGCTAGCGTTTGTACGGTCTTATCTTTTCGTTTATACTTATACTTATCGGCCAAAATATGAATTTTTAACCTTAAATTTGGAGTTGATTTTATGGTTTTTGGATCGTTAAGAATACGTATATAAAAGTTTTGTTTACGAATTATTTTTTATTTATAAATATACTGTTTAGCTTATTCCACGAATAAACGAAACGATGGGACCGTTATTTGCAGGCCGTAGCGTAGAACACCAGCCTCATACGCATAAAGCCTTCCATCATTTACGTATGTGGTGTTGTACAGGAGGGATCATCCAAAACGCCTGACACGATTTACGATCACCAGCAATTCCTTTGCAGGGATCCCTTATTTCTTCCGTTGGAGCACCAGGTGGAGCTCGCCGTTGACGTCGACGGGGAAGACGGAGTACACCAGCAAGTCCGCCGTCGCGAACAGGTGGGTCGGCCTCACCCGCACGGCGGTGAACACCGGCCGATGGTGATCCGGCGAGAACTCGAGCACGCCGTACGACGACCCGCCCGGCTTGATGAGGTAGTACAGCTTGCCGCCGCACGGCGTGAAGCTGCAGATCGTCCGCTGCCCTCCGATGTCGTACTCGTGCTTCGCCCACGACGCCAGCGAGGCGGCGGCGACGCCGGCGTGGCAGCATGGGCGGAGCTACCATGATTCCCGGGTATTCCCGGAAATACCCAACTTTTTTATCGAAAAACAAGTATATTTCTAATATATACATATGTACACATATTAGTGCACCTAAATCCTCAATTATTCGATCCAAACATAGCCCTATACACATGTACATATATTAGTACACCTAAATCCTCAATTCTTCGATCCAAACACAGCCCAACCGGCCTATATGACCCATCAGACATCAGTTGATCCACTTAGCCACCACTCTTCCAGACGGCCCCCTCTCGCTCTCCCTCCATGACCCATCCCTCCCTGGCTCGGCTCCCTCGCGCCGCTCCCCATTTCCAAACCCTAGGCGGCGGCGCGGCGAGGCGGCAACTGGCGGCGAGAACTGGACCGCGCTACCACGGAGGGGGAGGCTATTGCCGCGGCGGGCAGCGGGTGGCGCCCGCCACTCCGCCAAGCTCAGGCAGTCAGGCCGGTTGGGTGGCCGGCAGCCGCGAGGGGTAGAAGCGGCCAACGGCTCAACGCTTAGACGGGAATACCCAACTTTAAAATCCTGGCTCCGCCACTGCGTGGCAGTACCACAGCACGTTGCTGCCCCTCTCGACCATGACCACCGTGAACCCGCCGGCGCCGGTTGGCTCGCCGGTTGATATCGCGCAGCAGGCCTTGATGGCCGGCGGCGCCTGCCCGAACGACGGCAGCGCGACGCTCGTGACCTCGCCGGCGGCGGCGGCGGCTTGCGGGTTCCACAGGAAGGTGGCGAGGGTTGCCGGGTCCCAGGTCAGCACCCAGCTGCCATGCGAGGTCGCCCAGCTCCGCTTGGTGCGGAGAAGCTCGTCGTCGACGTCGCAGGGGCGGTGCACGCCGTTGGCGACGTTGTACAGCGTCGTCGTGGGTCGCCCTCCATCGGCGTCGTCGTACGAGACGAGGAACAGAGACGGCGCCGCCGGCCGCCGGCTTGTCGACGGCGACATATATGGTAGGCCGAGATCACTAAACACAATTGTCAATTGTGGCGGCGGCTGATCGACACGATCCGATTAAGAGGATCGGAGGTTGATCGTGTCGATCTTAAGTAGGATTTCACACCATAGTCGATGTCGGACAACAAATTAAATTTGTTATCGATTCAGATTCGTGTACTTAGCAGATTCAGAGAGGTGACAGAACCCATGCTACTCTGAATATGTCACGAGCTGGCTGATTCATCTGAGGCTAGTAATAACCACCTTTTGATAATTTGAAAAAAAACTGGATTTTTCAATTTTCTAGCATTTAGTTTAGTTTTTTTATTCTAGATTCTTAAAAGAGAGAATCGCTTATATGCCACTGAAAATTTGTCTGATACCTTATATGCCACTGAAAATTGGCTCTTCTCTTATATGTCATTAGTCTAAATTTGCGCACCCTCTCATGCCACTCCCGTTAGTTGACTGTGGGTTGACCATTAACTCAGAAGGACAAATACGTCTTTTTTACTTTAGAGTTAACGGTCAACACACAGTCAACTAATGGTAGTGGCATGAAAGAGTGCACAAATTTGGACCAATGAAATATAGGGAAAGAGCCAAATTTTAGTGGCATATAAGGAATCAGACCAATTTTCAATGGCATATAAGGGATTCTCTTATTCTTAAAATCTAGATAAAAGGCTTGGGGTTCTTCCGGCGGCTTACACGCACATAAATGATCCAAAATGATCCTCGTGGCAGTTTTCACGAGGACTTTGAAAGACTCCCGCAATTTCCTCGTGTTGGTGCCTTGGCGGCGATATCACACACGTGCAAGCACTATTGTCATACGGGCTCAATTCGCCTCCCCTTCAAACGTAGGCACATGTACGTGGTACTAGGACTACAAAGCCCGAGTCTGATTTCCTCGTCGCCATAAAATATATAATTTGATTCATGACGAGATTATTGGAATCCATTAATCCATGATCATAAATAGAAAACTTTGGGCAAAATTAAACAATGCGAATGGAGTGGAGAAATTTTTACCCCCAATGGAGAGTGAGGGGATGCATCTGAGTTGGGTATTAGGAGTGGGGTGCTTTCCTGTACTTGGCTTAGTCTTTATCGAGGTGGGCCCCCCTACACGGCATGACCGAGCTGCAGGGGGCCCTATATGGCACGACCCCGTTGCGTTCGAGGTGGTCCAGGGATTATACCCGCCCGTACAGTATACAACGGTAGCATACCATCTATACAAGAAATACAAATCCCAATATTCTATTAAAGCAAGACAGATTGAACAATACAACACAAATCTTCGTGAATGATCCAACGGTGATGCCTGTAGGGGATGTCCCCTTAGAGGACGATAACACTTTCGCCAACTGCGGTAACTGTTCTATATATGTTACATTGGTAAGAAGAATAAATAATATTGTGGGGGAAAATATGTTGTCCACATTCAGTAGATTTGACACTTCTACTCACTTGGTATATAATATAAATTAGACTATGAAAAAAAGGTTGTAATTAACTAATTATTGTGAGTACTCCAGTCATTGATGACAACATTGTCCAAAGTTTCCAACTGTTCATAGCAATTTTCTCTATTTCTTTGGGAATTTTTGGTTCATAGCAAATGGTGAAACGTTAAACTCCGAGTCCGAGTCCGCGACCACGTACACGAACGTAACAAGTTTTGCCTACATAAGACAAACCCCGATGCATATGCGTGTCCATCGCGAATCATCTCTCATCTGTCGCGCTTCTGATCCGTTTTGACCGTGTCAGATAGCTGTGTGCGTAGCGTGCACATGGCGACGTCGACACCGCCGCCGCTGCCGTGCCTCGTCGTCGACAACGGCGAAACGGCGGCGACGTTGTACGGCGTCTCCGACGGCGAGCACCGGCCGTGCGAGGCCGAGGAGCTGCGCCGCAACCGGTGCTGGGCCACCTCGCACGGCTGGGTGCTGTGCTGCGACCCGGCGACCCTGTCCACCTTCCTGTGGAACCCGACCGGAGGCGACGACGACGGCGGCGGCGGCGGCGGCAAGATCGCGCTGCCGCCGTTCACGCAGCCGCCGCCGCCGCCCAATTCCCAGTGCGCGCTGTCACGCGAGCCCACGGACGCCGGCGCCGGCCGCTTCACGGTGGTCATCGTCGAGCCGTCGGGCAGCTACGTCCTCTGGTACTGCCACGTCGGCGGCGGCGGCGGCGGATCATCGTCGTCTCCGTCACCGGCGGCGGGGTGGACGAGGCACGAGTACGACGTGGGTGGCACAAACGTGAGGGTCGCCGGCGGCCACCGCTTCGTGCGGCGGTCCGTCGCCGGCCTGACGGCGTGCCGCGGCAGGTTCTACTGCTTCCACACCGCCACCGACTACGGCGTGCTGGACTTCTCGCCGGCGCCGGTGTTCGGCACGGTGCCGATGAGGGCGGTGGACATGGCGGAGAAGGTGGCGGCGGGGGAGGCCATGGCCAAGGCGTCCGTCCACACGCTCGAGATCGGCGGCGAGCTCTACATGGCGTACATCTTCTTCCACGGCGACGACGGCAGCCGCGTCGTCGAAGTCGGCGTCTACCGGATGGACTTCCGGAGGCGCAGGGCGGTGAGGGTGCGCAGCGTCGGCGACCGCGCCATCATCGCCGGCTCCAACATCGGCGGGTGGTGCCCCGCCGGCGGCGAGACGGGGCTGCGACCCAACTGCGTCTACTGGACGAGCCCGTACGATAAATGCTTGCACGTGTGTGATATTGGCGCCAACGCCAGGAAATTGCGAGAGCCTTTTAAAGGACTCGCGAAGCTGCCGCATAGATCGTTTTGGATCATCCCTGTGCATAAGTGAACTATTCCCTCCGTCTAAAAATATAAAGAATTTTAGACAGATGAGACATTTTCTAATACTATGATACGAATCTGAACAGATGTCTCATCAGTTCAAAATCTCTTATATTTTAGAACGGAAAAAGTATATATGTATAATTAGTTTTCCTTTTATTTCTTTTATTAAGATAATATAATCTATTCCGGCCTACTTGAAATAAACCATAGCAAATTATTACAATGATTTGTGGCTCAAATGATTGTGAATTATTAAATTTCATAGCTCGGTTAAAAAAAAAACTATACAAACTCGACAGATACGATACACATTGAACTTACATCTATAACTAGCCTATAAAGTCGCACATTCGCACCTCTATAACCATTTTCCACATCGCCATAAATAACTCGATTTCACGACGAATTATCGGAATCGATTGATCCATGAGTGTAATCGTCACCATGTCATTGTTGTAGTGTTCATAAATATACAAATTTGGGCAAAACAACTGTCGCAACTGTTCTACGTTTTACATCTGAAAGAAGAATAAATAATGTGGGCAAAATATGTTGTCTACATACATGTTTTAAGTACATTTGACACTTCTTCTCACTTGGTATATATACTAGACTATGAAAAAATCGTGTAATTATTGTGAGTAGTCCAGTCATTGATGACATCCAACGTTTCTAACTGTTCGTAGCAATGGGTTTCTGCAATATGAAGCAGCATACATGTTTGTGTTAAAAGGCACTCGAATTATTATTATTATTTTGAAACAAAGATACTCCAAATTGAACCAACAGAGTGGAGAAAGGAAATTATAAGAGTAGACATGCAGTACGAGCAGGTACCTTACCAAAAGGTGACAAGTTTGTTTCATCGGTTGATTTGCAAACTAAGTGCGAAGTTTAGACGTCATTGGCACCACCTGCAGTTAGCATCTTCAGCTTCTGCATTTTTGAATTCAAACAATGAGTACAATTGGTCAAATATCGCCTGGCAATTCCACATTTAAAACTAATGTAACAGTATAATCCAAGAAACTTCTATTTGCCGCAACAGGATTGCATGATAATGGTAAAAGAAAGAAATTCGAATACATTATTGTGTTGTACAGGATGGGTTTACCGAAATAAATTGTGGAGGGTCATCTATGCTAGAAGATCCCAGGACAATTTCGCGCTTCAGTTTCATAGTAAGCTTGTGCACCGTCCGCAGCTGATCCATTTAAGTGTAAGAATTGATGACCACATAAACAGAATGGGATTTGAGTTATTAAATAGTTTGCAGTAAATGGCTTACTTCCGATCTAGTGGCTCCACCAATCATGAAGACAAAAATTCGGTTGCCTAGCCTCTTGAAGTCATTAGATCCATGTCTCAAGACCGAGGAGTCACTGCCAATCCAGTTTGTGATGATAAGAAAGCAGGTAAAAGGTATGAAGCTGATATAACACTTTTACTAGAAAAACTTTTATATGGATAAGTGGTTCAAATAGAAAATTATATTTGTTGAATACCTTGATTGACTATCATCAGAGTTTCGAGACTTAGCCCAGGTTGGTGTCCGCCGCGATCTCCTGGACATGGGTTGTGCTTGTGCTGGTTTAGTCGCGGCTGCACTTTGTGTAGATCCTTGTTCAGTGGAACTGGGTTCACTCATGGATGGGTATTCATTCAAAGGTAATGCACCTTTGCTCAGTTTCTCAATCAACTCCTGTTAGAGAATGAATGCAAGTCCTTAATTTAAACAACGAATAAGAACCATTATTTTAAGTACGATTTGTATATAACCACTCAACAAAAGTATTATCCAACAGGCATCACCAAAAATCATTGCCACTATGTTTGTTATTATCCAGTTCAGTTTATTACGAACCGGATTTTATTAACAGAATGTGAACCACATTCTTGAAGTTCCCATATTTAGAAATTTGCTATATGTTGGTTTCAGAAAAGGTGAATAATAGAATTTCATAAGAAAATATTCTTAATTGTACTAAGCACACAGAAATAAATTAGCCAAGGAGATATTTGATGCAGGAAGTTTAGAAGTAAACTAGTAGTAATAGTTATACCACATGCCTCTATAAGTGGGAAAAAACGTGATAATGCCCAGGTTTCATCGCCATCCTGCCGTTCTGTCCTCGCAGCATTTTTTTTCTGGTATATAAGTCAAGCACACATGTTAGTTCAAGGGAAGAAGGTAGAAATAATTTAGCTCAAATCATGACCTCACCTTTTGTGCATCAAATTTGAGAGAGAAGCCGCCAGGCCGTGATGCCTTTTTTGTATCTGAACCAACCAAGTATCTTAAACTATTTATGGCATCCATCTCATCATGTGGCAGTTTTGCTAGCTGCATAAATGAAAGTTTGTTCAAAATGTCATATGTTTATATAATCAACTGCATGCAATTGTACCCCCCAAAACCAACTAATAGAACCCTCTGTGTCACATTTTCTTTAGTAAACACTCCGAATAGCACTATAGAAGCACTCAAGGAAACCATTGAACAATGATAATAGTCAACCTGGTAATCTATACTTCCACGCTTATAACAAGCAAAATCCGAAACTGTGTTTATGTATGATTATGTCATGGGTAATTGGGCTGAGAGGCTGAGGCCAGTGGTCATCCCAACACCCTCTGGGTAGCACGCTACTGTAGTAGTTCGTTAGGTAAGATTAGATTGAGTCCATTCTTAGGGGTTAAGTCGTCCCATCTATATAAGGATGGATTGTATCCTATGCAATTATGAATTAAGTGATAAATCAGATTAATCCAATCTAATCCCTCTCAATGTCCTACCAACCTAAATCTACCTCTCACCCCTAGCAGCAGCAGCCGCTTCCACGCATCTATCCACCCGACGGTGTTTATCCCGTCATGTCCTCGGGTTGTGACAGATTAATGTAATAATTGCACTAATAAGTAATGTAAAACTTGATAGGAAATACCTGCATCAACTTTTCCCCTTTGTCACCTTCAAACTTCTCTGGATATACAATTGCATATATAATAAGCAACCTCAATTTGTTTTCTGGGCTCATATCCTGAACAATAGAAAGTTCAGTAAGCATTGAATAAAAACTGACAAATAATTAGCAGTAAGACTGCTTTCATTCTCTCTTTCTTAACAAACCTGCTTTGACCTGAGGATACTGATCACCTCCTTGGCTGCTGCATCTCCAAAAACTAGATCCTGCTCCACCTGCCCAATGTCACGGAGACCATACTCTCTGATAAACTTGTTGATTTTTCCAGCAATCTGAATAAAAGTTCAATAGTGAGTATTACATTTTTTATTATTTTGATGATAAGATAGAAGTTGTAAAAAAAATCATAAATCAAGGATGAACATATAAGTATGTATTAAGGTGACAACAGTCAACATGTTTTTCTAAACAATAGCTGCTTCTTTTCACATTTACTTGATAGTTCCTAGAAATCCCGAACTTATTTGTAAGGGTAAACAAAATAACATAAAGCACGCACAGGAAATACTATGGAAATAATCATCTACCTCTATATGGAGGGTCAATTTCTCAACTTGTTCACCGTATTGTGGCAAAGCTTGAACGATCTTCTGCAGATCCTTTGTAGAAATTTCACCACCATCTCTAATTGAGAAAGGGAATCATAAGCATGCAATATGAAAGAACTTAGAACAATGCACTTTCTGTACTTTGGCTAGCAAACAACTGATCGATCAACATTTGATGTAACCTTGACATCAAACTACAAACCACAGCTTACTTTGTTGAGAAAATCCCTTATATACCCCTGAAATTTTTCCTAATCCCTTCTATACCCCTGAATTTTGCTTACTTCCTTATATACCCCCAAAATTTGATTTTGATCCCTTGCATACCCCTCCCGTCAGTTGACCGTTAGTTGACCGTGTATTTTCTATAAAAATGACCATTTTACCCTTGGATGAACAAAGAAATTCATGAATTACATTATTAAAAATATAAAAGCTTCTCGCATGAGACTATTATAGTTATGAGTTTGTTGTGCGATGCATTATTTATCCCAAAAAAATATTTTTAGATAATGAAATAAAAAAAATACGTATTTATTTTTTAAAAAAAAGGTCATAAAAATGAGGAGCATTCATATAAAGATAGGTATACCAATGTTCACAACATTTTTTTTTATGAATGCTCCTGATAAAAAAATCCATTGTCCTATTAAAATTTCAAATAAAAATTTTAATTTTTTACATTTATTTTATTTTCAAAATTTATGTCAAAATTTTCTGCACTAATTATTTAGTCTCATTAGTTTTATAAAATGCACACGATGTGCACTCAAACAAAATTTTCAATTATTTTTGAAGCTTATATTTAAACCTAAAGCATCAAGGGCAAAAAAGACATTTGCAACCAAACGTAACAGTAAAATGATGGAAAATGTAACGGTAGGGGCATGGAAGGGATCAAATTGAAATTTCAGGGGTACAGAAGGGATCGGGTAAATTTTAGGGGTATGAAAGGGATTGAGTGAGTTTTCAGGGGTACACAGGGAATTTACTCTACTTTGTTTCCTTCGAATTGTAAGGATTCCAGTAATACTTGTCTATCAGAGTTACAGTTCATATCCAAACTAAATCAGTCGTTCAAAAAATAATGCCATATGCCAGTAACTTAGTAAAGATGTAGATCAAATTGTGTTTACACTGCAACAAATTCTGTTGCAGATAAGTACCTAGCATAATGGATATCCAAGAGCTGATACAAAACATGACTGCCATCAGTAAACTAGAACGGTAAACGACACCAATGGAGTAGCATTGTTCAAATGGCATATTGTATTCGACTCTATTAAAACATTTACAGTTGTGTTCCTCTAAACCGAGGAAGATCATGCACCTTGAATGAAGTTGAGCTGCTTTATTCTTTGAAACAAAGTTATTCATCTTATCATACAACCTCTCACTAGCCTGCCATTTCAATTAGTGTTAGAAAGCAGAGACCAAATTGTACTTAAAACAATCTTAAACAACAGTACAACACATAACTCACATCAGCTATGTGAATGTGGCGAAGCTCAACCCAGAGAGGATCATGATCCTCCAATAAAGCCTCCTTTCTCTCAGGTTCTGATCCCGCTTTCGACACCTTCCAACAGAAATTAAACATAAGAATAGGGCAAGTGAACAGATCATGTTCATTATTATAATACGATATCACATTTACCTCATATATGTATTTTTGGCCATCCATTTCAAGTAGATCATGGCACATTGCATCATAGGTCCATTCATGAATAACAGGTGCTATCTTTGCAGACATACGGAAATTATTGTAAGCAGTAGGAAAGATACTGAATTTCTTCAATATACTTCTACACTGACAAGTTATTGAAACATAAGTTATCCTTCAGCACCTGATCTATAGGCCTGTCGACAATGAGCAGTTCACATGTCTCCTTCTGGGGAAATTCAGGTATTGTTGATTTATATTTTGACACAATATCCCAAACAGCAGTCGCTAACCATTTTGGAACCATGTCAAATTTTGGTGTTGTCATTGGATCTGTGCCCTTTGGGGCACGATACCGCACACAAGGAAATTCCTGTTATAACTTGAATCAGATTGTGTTTGACAAAAAAGAGGAATAATGATGCTATATATATTTCATTGATAGATTTAAAGACTGGAAGAATACATAAGAACGATATGAGATACTCAAAACTGCTGGTGTCCAGTAGATCATTGTATATGTATACCTTTTAAAATATTTAGTTCAGAAATATTCACAAGGGGAAGGTATAGTCTGCCACAACAACACACAGCCACAAGAGATTGCTAAGACAATATCACCCACTTAAGTCAGTTACCAGGCTATTAATGAAGTTCTGTGAAGTGCATTAACATGACATATTCTTTGCATTTTTCAAGGAATTTAATATGTACTTTTTACGGCCTGGTGATTCAAGGAAGGAGATCTTCAGGGTTGGCACTTTTGGCTGGAGAAATGGGAATGAAAAACTGACAAGCAAGAACATATGTCATCAAACATTTTGGAACCATGTCGATCAGGAAAAAATACATGCTACACATGCTGAATTGGAAAGACAGTTAAGAAATATTTCGGTAATGTGATGAAATTAGTACTAGTGGACAGGAAATAGATAATAATAATAACAAATGAAGTATGTTAACATGCCTTCAACGAAGCAAATGTGGTAGCAATGCGAGTAGCCATAGTGCTTATAGTGTCATTGAACTTTTTCGAGTTGTGCTGAGCACTATATAAATCAGTGAATGCCATGTCATGGTCAGTTGTGAATCCCTGCAGATATGCCACATAGAGAAATCATTACATTAATCTTGAGAATTCGGATTTCTATTTTTTTTAAAAAAAAAAGAACAGACCACCCTAATATCAAATGAAAGAACCAGCCAACAGCATGCGAATACATCCACAGTCCATCCAACATGTGTAGCATGGTAGCAGGCATCATTTGCTATGTTTTCACCTTCGGTAATATCACGAATATTTCAAAACTGGAAATGAATTCATTTGATTGATGCAAATGAACCGTTTTAATTTTCCTTCACGGTGCAAATGCAGTTCTAAATTGTCCAAACTTCTTATCAATCAATGCTAGTTTTATGTTTGCGTCCAGTTGCTTCTTATAATTGCCATATGTTTATCATACTTGACAGTAACAAACTAAAATCAGAACTAAATAGATTCTTAGCCAGCAATGAAGAAAAAATATGCATAACTAGTAGATCATATAGATCGAAGGCTATGAATACCTGCATGTCAATTGCAAAGAACTCCAAATTCATCTGGAATTAACAATATCGGCATTAGAAAATCCATCTGTAAAAATCAAAGAAATAAAAGGTACAAACTACAGGATAATTAACCTCTCTTAGTGCACCAATACGTGGTATCACACTGCTGTCGTTCTTTATGTAAGAGACCAGCTCCTTAGGAATCGGTGAACTAAAGAATATGTATGCCCTATAAAATCAAGTGAGATATTAACATGTGAGTCAAAATTTTGTTGCATTTGAAGCTTTTGTAATTGGCATTCCGGGTTACAAATTGAAAATTCGGTTTGACATACTTCCTGTACAGTGGACATCTCCCAGACATGTCAGATAGAAGCATTATGACACTGCAGGTTGCGAGGCTCACATATCAGAGAAGATTCAAGACAATATAACTTCAACCGTTGATTATGCGGCGTTAATTAATTAACTAGCAGAAAAATCGTCTAAGGAAAAAAGGTTGCACCAAAAGGAAATGCAGTGTTACAGCTTTGGCTTGAGATGCATATATGCCTTCAGTATCATACTATAGACTACACACTGACTACAACCTAAAAGAAATATCATAATCACAAAATGAATCAAAGACGAGATCATTACTCCACGCATATGGTACTTGCGATCAATTTTGCTGCTGCAGAATGATAAAACGAAAGCAAGTGGTCAATGGCGATCGAATAATACTTTTCTTTCAGTGGCTGGAGGAAGTAGATTGCATCCATGGAAGGCATGGGCTCCCTTCGCTTGAAAAGATCTTCAACCACTGCAGGACAAGATAAAATGTCCATGTAAGTGTCTTTTTTTTATAAATTAAAATCAACCAGCTTACTGAAGTGCTGTTTGCTGAACCAGGCACCTCTGAATAGGCGCCCTCCAAGTGAATGCAATAGAAAACAAAACACATTTTTTTCAACAAGTCCACAATTATCTGTTTGTACGCTAGAATATGATGACAGGTCCAGACTTGATAAACTTACACGAGATTCCTGCATCGGTAATTTCTGCCATCTTGCAGGCATAAGCCATGATCCTCACCGTAAATTTGTCCATGATAAGAACCTGCACAGGAGATTAACGAAATCAATATGTATATCCCCCTTCACACTCGATGCATTGATAGTTTTTTGAAGAATAACCACATTTGGGGACAATATAGTAGTACCTTGTTAGGAAAAAAAATATGAATTAACAGAAATGTGAATAGATGGAGCCAAAAAAGAAAGGGTAAAAGGAATGCATTTCTTTTGTACTACCTTCCATGAGCTTTTGGTCTCCTTATCTTTGTCCGGCTGCAGCAAGTCCTTGAGTATACCTGTGAGAAGAGCAGCAAGCGATCGATTCGCGCGGCATCAGCGATCAGATGATACAGACATAGATAAACACGAGGAACAGAGAAGAGGTGGGGGGTGGGAGGAGCGAGCTTACGATCCCGGCAGATGTTGCGGAAGATCTTGGGGTCGTCGCACGGGGCGCCGAAGTCCGACCCCGACATCGACATCCCGCCGCCGACCGGAGTTGATCCCCTCTACCTCCACTCCTCTCCTCCCTCTCCCTCTCCCTCAAACTCCTTTCACCCCCCCCCCCCCCCCCCCCCCCGGTTTCCTCTCACCCGATTTAGCTGGAATGCACCTTTGTGGAGGAGGGAGACGGAGCGTGGGGGGCCTCTCCGCAGGAGGAACCGGGGGGCCGCGATTCCCGCGGGGATCGAAGAGAGGGCACGACCGCACGACGCCATGGGAGCACGCGGCCTGCGCTGCCGCTGCCATGGTGGCGGTGGCGCAGAGAGAGAGAGAGAGAGAGTTGCTGCTTCGTCGCATGCACGTCCCGCCGCTCGCGGCTGCCGTTGCACTTGCAGCTATAATTCGTGACATCACGTCGCACTCGTCAGTTTTAGTTTTCTTTTTTTTTAGCCAATTATCCTACTACTAAAATTTTGATAGTTTAGGATTTAACTTAGTGCGGACAAAAAATTGATAGCAAACCAAAGTACCAAACATTCCTTTGATGCTACTGTTAAAGCTAAAAAAATGGTACTACTTTATCCTTAAAAAAAAGCAAATCCTAGCTACAAACCTCAATACACATATATAACTAGGTTTGAGTTTTTTATAGAACAGAGCAGATAATAGGTCGTATAGCGGATTAAGTTATGGAGACGACTTCTTGTGAGCTAGAGCTACAGGATTTAAGAACCCAAATGCCACAACTTTACTGCAGAATGACGCAAAGGATTCCCGGTGTCTAACCATCAGCATTTCAGTAACTCACCAGTTTTTTGCAGTTGAGATATTGCCATGCATAAATCGGTGCAACTTTTAACTCACAAAAGGAAGACATGTGATTTTCTTTTACATAAAATTCAGACAATATTATTATGCCAAAACTCGAACTCTATCTACCACTGCATACAACTCCAGGGCGCGCGTGCAAACAACACATGCTACTAGCATTCATTCGTACTATTCACTATAAACAGGACCTCCCATCTGAACCACCCCCAACCTTGGTTCCGCATTCGATACCGATTTACACGTTGCTGCAGGACGCTTCCATCATACCATTCCGGATTTGCTCGCTGATATCCCTGACATGGCCTGGGCCATGAGGTATGAACACCGTGGTGTTCTTCGAGCCATCCCCAAGTTCTTTGATGGTGTCGAAGTACTGCGTGACCATGATGAGATCCATGACTTCTTTTGCTGAGGTGCCTGAAACCGAGTGCGAGAAGTTCAGGATGTTCTCTCTCAGGCCATCAGTTATCGCCTGCCGCTGTCTAGCAATGCCGACACCGGAAAGGTGTTTTGCCTCTGCCTCTGCTTCTGCTTTCTTCACCAGAAGAATCTTCTCCGCCTCTCCTTTGTAGACACTTGCAAGCTGAAGCCTTTGTGCTGTTATAAGAATTTAATAGTTGAGTGAGCACACATGCACAAAACAGAAATTGTCTTAACATCAGACGTTGCTATAATTGTGGTGTGGTTTGTACAATATGTAACTATGAGCAATGAACCAGGACAGAGTCAGTACAAGACAGTTGGCATAATTTAAGTTCAGATTGAGATAGATAGGTTGCAAGACCTAAAATAGAGGGTAGACTCATTCGTAGGTTGAATTAAGCAAGCATGAATAAACTAATCCTATTCCTTTCAATATTGCAATGGTCTTTCCCTGATCATATATTTTACATATGTTTCTTCCCCAACCTATTCCCTGCTTTCACTGTTTTAACTCAAGTCATCGTCATTCAACTTTCTTCCAACATTACAAGAAACAGAAAATGAAGCATGAGTAGAAAAGATAACATAAAAGCATTAGATAACTATAAGAACTGTGATAGGTTTTGACTTCGAGAAAACATTGCGGCATCCAATAAACCGAGAAAAGGTCCTCCGGACTGTACACTATGAAAGAAGTACGACATATAGGGCACCATACCTGCATTTATTTCATTCATTGCTCTGCGTACAGCAGCATCAGGGATGATGTCAACCATGAGAATGTGCTCAATGCTGTAACCATAATCTCCCATCACCTGGAAGCATCTAGGATTTATCAAATTGCAAGACGACAGAAACTACAGTACGAGAAGACCATCGAAGAAAAAGATGAACAGACCATGGACATTGTGATTCTTTTGGGGGGAAGAGAAACTATATAGTATACAAGAAATTGCTTATCACTGACAATAAGAGGCAACAGAATTTTCATGACAAAACTAGACTTTAGCAATGAAACTTGGATAAACAATGATAGCATTGGATAACCAGAAACAATTTTATTTTTATCATATTTATTACCAATCACCTGTGGAAGAAAGAAACACGGGTGTCCAAAAGTTAGTAAACACTTTAGTTTCCTGAGCAGAACTCATTGCAGCATACAACACAATATCAAAGTTCTTTGTGATGCAAGTTGTACAAACAACAACGTTCCACCAAGTAGTATCCTGGAACTATCCCTTGTCCCAATAAATAAGTATGTTAAAACTTAAAACCAATACTTTTTTTAAAAAAAAATGAACTGACAGAAACCAAACGGCATGTTTAGAATGAACCAAAGAAAATTCCCAACTCTCGAAACATGCAAAAGGAATCAAAGGGGAAAAATAACAAAAAGAATACTGCAACAACCACAAAACAGATGGGTGACGGCAGTTAGAATCCTGGCAGAATTGTTTAAACACATGAAGTGTTTACCATGAAACAATAGAAGCAAGCAATACATGTAGAAACCTAAAATATTGATTAGATGTATACTGGAATTTTCACAACTAAAAGATCAAGTTAATTGGCATACGGTTACCTTTTCTAGCTCCTGAAGTACAGCTTTCGCCACATCATTCTTTTGCTCAAAAAGATCATCAAGATTCATTCTCGGAACTATAGCTCGGACCACTGATTTCAAGGAAAAAGTGGTTAGATTTTTGAGTCAGTAATTTGCTATGAGCAACAGCTGAATTGTTCAATATTAATAATTTTACCATCAAAGACGTAGGCCTGAATTTGCTGTTGGGGATTCTGCAACTCATAGAATGCATCATCAGCATGTTCCTTAACAACCCGATATTGGATTGTGCAGATAAGCTGAACAAAGACATTATCCTGCAGGGGAAAAGCACATCATCCAATGTTTCATCAAGCAAAGAAACAACCAAGTGCTAGCATTAAGTAAAATTGTCATTCCATAGCAAATATTTCATTTCATTTGTAAGCGCTATATAGCAAGAGCATCACAAGGATATAACATGTTATTAATTGCGTTTCCATTGCTGTCCTGGCAAAGCATCTCCCAATAAAAGGAAAAAGGAAAAATCTGCATATCACTGATCCTCAAATAATGTTGCTCGACAACTTCATCTCATGAACCAACTAAATTTACAGAGTAACAGTAATTCCCTTGGTTCACTTAGCATGACATCGTTAAGCATCACCCAGCAGACACAATGAAATATGCCCAATTAGCATTGACTAATTACTTTTTTTCCACCATCACGCACACCCATCACAAGCATACCAGCTCTGTTACTCCCATCAGTAATTAGGACAAAATGGACCCTGTCTGGTTCAACAATTAGATACTAATCTGGCGCACCGAGAGAACTGATCGAATACATACTTTGAACCAAATCCCCAATCAGTGGGCTCAGGTGGAGAATTACGAATAATTCCATGGTCTGCCTAGTATTGAACCTTAACATTGGATAATGGCCATGGGGGCTACACTAGAAATCCAAAACAAACAGAAGAAACTCGCGAGGTAGCGTGACCGAGAAGGGAAACCTTGGTCTTGGTCTCGACGCGGACGTCGAGCGACTGGACGCGGGTGGAGAGCGTCCCGGCGACGAACTCGCCGGCGAACGGGTTGAAGAAGTGGAGGCCCGGCTCGGCGAGGCGGAGGAAGCGGCCCCACTTCTCCACCACCGCGACGCTCGCCTGGTCCACGCACCCGCACAGCAGGAAGAAGGCGCTCACCATGGCTCTCACCTCAACCTCAACCTCTCCTCGTCGGCCTCGATCGCGGCGGCGGATTTGGATTTTGGACGCGACGGGTGGGGAATTCGGCGGCGGATTTGGACGCCCCTCTTCTTCGTGTTCTTTTTGCCCTTTTGACGAGGAAACGAACACGATGATGACGTGTCAGTGTCCGCGTGGACTTTTAGGAAAGGTAAGCGGTTTAGTGATGTTTCACGGTGAAAAGGGGCCTTATGAGGCCCATTGTAGAATTTTCTCGAGGGGATCACGGCCCGTTTTAATTTTCCAGCATTGGGCCGGTATCCGGGAGGATCGAATGTTTCGGCCTAATACAGAAACACTGTAGCTATGTGCTCATATCCTATATATACTTATATAGTTTAAAAAGTCATGAAAAATATCAACGGTGAACAATCACCCCTAAGGCCCCAAACCTTGTTCCACAAACGGTAGCGCCGCTTGTGGCGGAGCTCCTCGACCTAATATTTTAATCGCCAAGAATTGATCACGTCTAGGGCCAAGCAGGGCTGAGTTAATGTGTTCTTAACAAAACTCTTTATATCTTCAACTTTTTACAATATTTTGAATAAGATTTTAATAGGAATTTGGTCCTAAGCCTAGGGCCCAAGCCCTAATTGTCCCACCCTTGTCTCCGCCCCTGTCTAATACCATTAGTTTTACTATATTGAATTTATGCAGTGATGAGAAGAATACCCATATCAATAGGCATTGAGAGAGGAGGAAATGGATATTTGATATATGTTTCACATGGTTTCTCTTTTCTATTGAATCAGAAAATGAATGCTCTAATGGGTGCGGTCTTTAGCAGCAAAATTCTATATTTTGAGAATGTATTTTCCTAAAAGTTACTTCATGTGGTGTCTTATAGCTAAAATCGTAAAGTCCAAATATCCTATAATAAAAATTGTCTTTTCAGAATGAACCATTTTTTTAAAAAAAAAACAAAGAATGAACCATCTTGCTATAAGCTACTATTTTAATTCTAAGATTCACAAACGTAACATGGAGCATGCATGAGGGTGCTACATTTAAGGAAAAAGTAAAATACTATGATTTCCTTCAAAGGAGTAAATTAAAGTGTTGCATGTTGCTTGTTGTCAGTACAAGATCAGGCAAAAACAGTTGTTGCAGTCTGAATATTTCAGCCAGGCAACATGGCTGAAATAGCTTCATTTTCATATCAAAAGTTTACCGACTGCCTTGCTGTAAGATTCTTGGATTGAGTGTGATGGTATGCCATATTTGGTTGCAGGTAAAACCACATTTTTAAAGAGGGGTCTTATTGGAGAACTTGAGAAGAAATACTGAAATGTTATGCAAATTGTCATTTCAGCTTTCAGCAACCATTAGCGTGGATGTTCATCCATTCCACTAAATTTACCACCAATTGTGATAAGATGCGCTTCTACTGCTGGGGCACTGGTGGACAAGTTCGATGGTGATAAGTTTAACTTGTGTTACATGAATGTATACGATAGCACATTTGCCTAACACATCTAGTAGAAAAATGCAAGGTTCCAGCTTCAACCAGCTTCCACACCAGCTTCCTCCTCAGTTTTCCACACAATTCGTGTTGCAAATTTAGGGATGGGTCTCTTGAATCCGCCTGGCTTATCTAGGCCCTAAAAAATAAAAACAAGGAGCACTCAATCAACAATGAACCGAGCAACATGTGTACAGGTGGAAGTAGATCTTGTTGTGTTATTACCTTGTACATACGTCTTAGCATATCTTCCTCATCCTTGACCTGTAAAAGAGAAGATCAGGCTATTAACTGTTGAGTACTTAGAGCAATACAACAATGATAGATGCTTGTCAGAAATAAATTGTCATACACTGAGTTCCTCATCATTATTGCGCGCATAGGAATTGACCCCAAAAGGTAAATATCCATCCAAATGACCACCACTGTATGCATCATTGTTAGGGTGCTTCATGCCAACATAACCATTATTCCTACAGCCATAGCAATGACCTTCAAAAATGGGGATATTTGTCAGTTTTAACAGCCAAAGTAACTGGGCAGATGGTTACCATGCTGATAAGTGATCAATGGTAAATAAGGCATGTCTTCAGTACAAGGATAATGAATCACATCCTATAGAAATTTTCAATTATATCGAAAAGAAACAGTACTCCCTATTAGTGTGAGCTAGACAGACTATTTCAAACGTGAACACTGAGGTAGTGTTTTGATACAAGTTGCTGAAGGGGCACATGCACTACAGCATATATCCTAAGCCAAAAGGCATGCACAACTTACCAATTTGCTGTTACATACAATTTTTTAAGCAGAAAGTTATATAGGATAAGAAATTTGAACTAAAATTGTGCAGAAGATATATTACCGTTAGCACTAGGTTTAATTATGCAGCAACAGCTGACCACCCATTCATATTCTCCTTGCATATGTGATATTTCAGCAAAGAATAGGTTCTCCACACCACACCCATCAGCTCTTTTCACCTTCGCAGTGAAATTCAAATGGTGGTACTGCCTTTGATCCTCATAAATTACTCCATGTTGCAAAAAATCCTTAAGTTCATACGCAAAATCCTAAAACAAAACGCATGGATCAGATAAACAAATGTTAAAATAGTAAGACATAAGATATAGATAATATATATTTGTGTGTGTGGAGAGAGAAAGAACATACCCCCAAAAGATTATGATCCTCATTATACTTCTCCACTAAAGCTTGGATCAAATGGCACTTGTCTTTTTCAAAATACCCAGCTGACTTGCAACGTTTCCGCTTGCCGTCAGGCCAGTACATCGCTTGCCGTATCATCTTCTCCATTAGAGGGAGCCTATCAAGCTCCTCACCCCTAATTAGATCAATGAAGATCATGTATGATTAGTATGCTGTACTTTCTCAAAGTTGTCGATACAATGTGCTATAAAGTTGTTTGCACATGTTACCAAGTCTGGTGTTCCTCAATTAGTTCACGTAGAAAGATAAATTTAACACAGCACATGATAAAACAATGGAGAGTGATAGTTGTTTCCATGCCTAGATTATATACTCTCAAAGCATCATTAAATTTCAGATTTCTAACTCACTTGGAACATGGGACACTGTTTTGAGCAATTAATTAGACTAACATGCAGCAATTCAGAATATAACATCAGAAATTATGGAAGCCCGGTATTTTTGTAAACGAGAACTAGTCATCTTTTCTATAACTAGGGTCTGGGTCATCCATTATATTCTGATTTTTTTCTCAAATACTATTATATTCTGATTCAAGCTCTCAAAAGTTTTTTGTTGTCAAATCAATTCAACTGATTTTGAAGTGTATATGTGTGTCCTAATTATTACTATGATCCTAAATCAACCTGAAGCTCCATGAGATGAAACATGCACCGAAATATAAAAGGCAGTTACTGTCTGCCCTAAATAAATACATCCAAGTATCCAACCACAAGAGTTTGCAACAAATAAACAGATAACAAGATAAAACAAAGTTAAGAAGCCTCACATTTCTGGAATCCGCAGGTCATGAAGATGTTGGTTTATAGCATCATCAACTTCTGACAGACTCTGATATGGCCCACAACCCACATCGGGATACATGTGGAAACACCCCCCAGGATCCATCCTGATGTAGAATACAAAATACCAACCACGAGGTCTCCTGACCAAAATGGATGACCCAGGAGATGACCACAGGCAGCACTGTGATGGCGTCGAAGTTTCAGTGTCGTCATGCTGCACAGTAAGTGGAGAGGAAGAGGAAGAGGTGTGTGCAGTTATCGGTTCTTTCGATGCTGTATTACTGAGCAACCCCACAGAGAAGGAAACATCTGGTTCTCGCAGCACTTGTGCAGACGAAGGCTCAGCAGAATTTACCAACCTGTAGCAAACAAGCTCAATGAGTAAGAGAAATAATTTTATTCTGGAAGGATCTCAATCAAAACATATTTATTCATTCTAAATAAATATTGCAGAAGGATCATTTTGCAGTGGCCAAGTTAGCAGGGGTCAAAAACTATATAGACTTTACCAATTTGTTACATTAATCCCTAGAAATCACATATGAATACACCGGTTATGTTTGTGCTAGCAAACAGCGCTTTTCCCCCCTGTCCTGCCTCTCCACTCCCAAGAATCTAGTGTCACAAACTGCTACTTCCACTAATCCATCGCAAGTCTTACAGAAGACGTATACTGTCTATCAGTCTTATAAAATACACTGTTCTATCCTCCCGAACGACACTAAGGGTGTGTTTGAGGGGAAGGGGATTGAGGAGATTGGAAAGATACGCAAAACGAGGTGAGCCATTAGCTCATGATTAATTAAGTATTAACTATTTTAAATTTCAAAAATGGATTAATATGGTTTTTTAAAGCAACTTTCCTATAGAAATTTTTTGCAAAAAACGCACCGTTTAGTAGTTTGAAAAGCGTGCGCGCGGAAAACGAGACTCAATCTCCCCAAACACCCTGGAACGAACGGTGCCTAAGGCTGTGTTTGAGAAAGGGGAGATAGAGAAGATTGGGAAGATACGCAAAACGAGGTGCATGATTAATCAAGTATTAATTATTTTAAATTTCAAAAATAGACTAATATGATTTTTTAAAGCAACTTTCTTATAGAATTTTTTTTGCAAAAAACGCACCGTTTAATAGTTTGGAAGCGTGCACGCGGAAAACGATGTGCAATCTATCTCCAATCTCCCAGAACGAACGCTGCCTAAATCACACATAGAAAATCGAAGTACTTAAATCACAAATAGCGTCGAGAGATAACAATACGTGGAGACTAGCAGTAAAATCAATACACGCATAGCAAAAGCGAACTAAATCGCGGGAAAAGGAAGGAGCGAGAGAGAGAGAGGAGAGGGGATGCACATACGGTGGGCGCGGCGGCGGCGAGGCTCGACGGAAGTTCCGCCCGTAGCGAAGGAGGTCAAGGGCACCTGCTGTGGTTGAGGACGACTCCGGAAGCAGCCGGGCAGCCGGCGACGGCGGCCGCCGGACGGCCAGCGGCCACCGCCGCCGGGCGCTCCTGCGCCCGCGGTGGATTGGCACCGCTTGTTGGCAGAGCATCGGGTTCTGCGTCGCCGGGGAATCGGAGGAATTCGATTGGAGGTTCGGAATTTGGGTTCGATGTGGGATCTTGCGATTTTTAGGGCTAAAATCCTCCAATCCGGTTGGGAGCGGAATTGAGGTTGGGGAGGACCTCCATGCTTTATATCTCTCCCTACAATGCGATTGCTAGTTGCGACCAATTCGAATCTCAAAGCACGTCGGTTTGTCTTCCCGACTCCGGAACGGAACGAACCCGCTTGACTTGTCTCGCGATTATGGCCTTGTTTAGGGGTCGGCTTCGTGAAAGCTTGACAAAGAACAGGCTCGGCTTGGTTTGGCTTGGCTTGATTAATGAAACGAGGTAAAATAGCCGCTCGGTTCGGCTCGTTTCGAAGCTCGAGCTAGCTTGGTTTAGATACAAGCAGCGAGACGATGGATGGCGTCGACGCCATAGGGGAGGGACGCGGTGGACCGGCGGCACTGGGACGGAGCCGGCAGGCCGGCGATGCCGTAGATGAGGGAGGTGGTGGACCGGCGGCGCTGGCCGCTGGGGATGGAAGCGGCACCGTAGGGGAGCAAGGCCGCGGCGTAGCCACGCAGGGGACGGAGATGGTGGCCTGACGGCGCAGGGATGGAGGCGACGCCGTAGGGGAGGGAGGCGGCGGACCGGCGGTGTAGCGGAGGGAAGAGGTACCGCAGGGGAGGAAGGAGATGACGCAGTGCAGCGCCTCGACGTCCTCCCTCCTCAGTTTCTCATGCGGTCGCGGCACGACTTCACGTTGAAGGAGGCGAGCGGACTCGTTGAAAGGCGTCGGTGGCGGACTCGCGTGGTGGGAAGGGGAGAAGATAGCACCTACGAGTGGGGTGGGTGGGAGATTAGGAAAATAATAGTTAGGGACTAAGGCTGAGTTTGAGTGGGAGGAGATTGAGAAGATTGGGAAGATACGCAAAACGAGGTGAGCTATTAGAGTATGATTAGTTGAGTATTAATTATTTTAAATTTCAAAAATGGATTAATATGATTTTTAAAGCAACTTTCGTATAGAAACTTTTTGCAAAAAACACACCGTTTAGTAGTTCGGGAAACGTGAGCGCGGGAAACGAGACAAACTCACTCACAATCTCCTCCTGCCGAACGCTCCCTTAGTGTTTTTTATGGGCCTTGGGCCACACCAGCGACAATAATGGGCCAGGCCATTTTTATGCAAAAGCTTGACAAGTTGAACGAGCCAGCTTGGGCTCGGCTCGATTTAGAAACGAGCTGCGCATACGGCTTGAGCTCGGCTCGTTTAGGTTTCAAGCTGAGCCGAGCTTTGCGAGCTCGAGCTAAACCCGAGCCTGCTCACGAGTCCAAGCATTTTGTCCACCCCTACCGACCGCACGATCACGATCCAACAGATTTCATGGACTCAACGCGGGCTAGGAGAATTATTCTCCAAACCCTCCTGCCCCAGCATCACCGCACTCTTTCTAACCGCATGACTTTTGACCGCGCATTCTCGATCGAACGGTTCCTGTTAACCAAACTGGGGTTTGGGGAATAATTCTCCGAACCCCTGGCGCCTCCAATCCTTGGGACTATCTGCTCGGCGCTTGGCATCCATGAACTCACGTGAGGTTCATGAGTTCATCGTGAAGCCCGCGATTCATTTTGTTCTTTGCAGCGGACGTTTGGCCTTTGATTCAAATTAACACTGAATAATTCGGTGTTCAAACGACAATTGTACGTACAAGGAGATTAGTGGAGAATTATATTGTGAGTCATTTGGATGTGTGTGCTCTCCTGCAGGCTTGCGTCTTCTGCTTTGCATGCCCGGCATCAAGCAATTGTTCTCAATTCAGGTTGGCATCGATCAGAGGTGGCGAAAGCGAACAACTAGTTTTGTGGCTTTGTGCCGATGGGTTGCAGTAAGAATTTTGCACCTCAACGTCACATTGAAATTGGATAAAGTGTACTACATGTATACAGCCACCGCCCCAAATTGAGTGCCTCAGTTTCCATGATCACACACACGAGACATTCTTAGCTAGAGTTGACAATTGACAATAGGGCCTAGTGACTTGAGACCCCATGGGTTAAAAAACCTATCAACAAAGTAAAATACAATCCAATACTTATACACATCGGTCTACTAATAGACATAAACCCTACACATCGGATGATCACCCGCACACCGTTTAACTCGTTGGTAAAATTACCTGCAAGCCTAGCTCTGAACAATGAGTGGCCTAACAAACTAAACCGTAGGTATAAAATCCATGTGATTTTGAAAACGTTTTTTCAGTTGATCCTTTTATTAGTGAAAGTTGGGGGTTATCCTTTCACGTCTTTTTTTTAAATTTCTTTCTTTTTTTACTTTGAGACTTGTTGGTTGTGTGCCCATAGACAAAGGCTGAAGGCGTCGTCCATTTCTATTATCTAAAAAGACACGGGCGGAGGTAGAGTATGGGAGGAGGGTGCCCATAAACTCGGTCAAGAAATTTTTTTATTTATAACTTATCGATTTTTACCATGTGTACACCTCTCCCAATACAAACTGAAAAGCACGCATCAACTTAAACTTGATCTAAAGTAGAGTAAATTAAACAAGAGACACCCTCTTCTATTTCGTTCTAGCTCCGCCTAAAAAAGGTATAAAATTGTCTACCCCGCAATCCTTACATTTTGCGCCCCCCCACTTTAACACTTCGCACATGCACGCAGTGAGAGCAACAACGTGCAATGTTTGTGTGTTTTAAAAAAAAAAGGTAGCGAGCCAGAAATCACAATAGCACTGCGCTGTCGTGCATGATGTGGCCCACACGCATAGTGCGACAGCAACTTACTGTAATTGTGAATCAGGGCAAGACGTGGGTTGTCATGTTGTCGTCTCACTGACACGCGCGAGGCGACCGCATCTCCCTTCCCGCCATCTCATCGTCGTCCCGCAGGAGGATGTCAAGAAATGAAAGAATGAATTAGTGTTGGCTTTCTACTAAGTAGATATTGGAAAAATAAAGGTTTTCTAATATGTTGAATTATTTTTTTACTAAGTGAAAAGATGTAATCTTTGATGCATGGGACGTACATTTATTTCATAGTTATGAGTCATAAGCTCGTAGCTCTTTGAGTTGACCATAACTACAATCAAATGTTTATCGGGGTCTTAGAAAACAAGCATATTATAGCCAAATCAATAAAAGAAAAGAAGTGCAATAGAAAGAGACCTTTAAACACGTTGAATAGTATCAACATAGATTAAAATATATAAAAATATTAGGATCCCTTATTTTTAAGGCACTTTTTGTCGTGAACCCTCATCAATATTCTTCTGCTTTTCGATATACTACTTTGATCAAATATAATTATTATTGTACCATATTTAAGTTATCGTAGGGTGTACATATTTTCGATATATTTCATAGATGTTAAGACAAAAGTAATCCGATCGAGAAGTGAGAGTAGTCCATGTGTGCCTTGGCGGCTCGATGAGGCACAAGATGCGAATGCTCCCGACCGTCCCCGTCGCGTCGCGCGACGAGAGCCGCCCGTTCGGCGCGGCCGCAACTGGTTCAGGCGTTTTCCGCCGCCCCGCCTGGATTCCGACTTGCTCTAGCCTGACTGACGTCTGCACAAGCGCCCACGTGTTGCCTCCCGCTGTTCCCTCTGCATATGCGGCGCAGGCGCGCGGCGCATCCGTGCCACGTCTGCGCACAGCCACACATCAGAGCAAGTTTAATAGTATAGCCAACTACTAGCTCCAATTCATCTATAGTCAATCTAATAGCTCATTCATACAATAGTTACATATTACACTATTAATACCTGGTCCCACATGTCATACACACGCTGCGTCTTAGAGTCCGTGCTACAGCTGGCTACAAATCTGTAACCCGCTGCCCTTCTCTCTCCTCATTTATCTCCTTAAAATATGTTTTCAGCTGGCTTATAGCCTGCTATTGTACCTGCTCTCAATGGTCAATCTCTCTTCTTCCTCTCTCCTCTCCTCCTTCTACTGCTACTGCTACTGTTAATCTGTGATGACCTGAACTACGTACAACTGGGTTAATCTCAATCAAAATATATACTCCCTCTAAAGGTTGCAAAGCGTTTTAACTTTAGTTAAAATTAAACTGTTTTATATTTAACTAAATTTATAGATAAATATAGTAATATTTATAATACTAAATTAGTTCCATCAAATCAATAATTAAATATATTTTCATAATAAATTTGTCTTGAGTTAAAAATATTATTTTCTTTAATTAAATTTAAAACAATTTGAGTTTGATCAAAGTTGAAACGGAGGAGGGAGTAGTTTGCACTAATTTGACACGAACACTTATTTCACACGTGGATTGTGCGTTTATGCTTTGATTTTGCAGTGATATTTGATATATCCGGAAGCTATGGCTGCTGTGGCTGTAAACGTCACGCGTGCCTAACAATCTGCTGCTTTTTACCCGCCAAGTATCTTGTTCCTCCACGCTATATATCTTACCCCCATATCCTCCTCCCCGTCTCTGTCCGTACTCACCACCACCAACGCTGTGCACCGCACAAGCAAGCACACGTACGCCACAGAGCACACACAGCCAAGGCGAGAGAGCGGCCATGGCGCCGAGCGCCGTGCAGGCGATGTCGTCGAGCCACGGCGCCGCGGCGGCGATGGTGGCGGCGGGGCAGAGGCGGCGGCTGACGCGGCTGCTGCTGAACGTGACGGTGGAGCAGAGCCTGTGGCCCGTCCACGTCGTGATCGGCGCGGACTGCACCGTGGCCGACCTCGTCCGCGCCGCCGTCGACGCGTACGTGCGCGAGGGCCGCCGCCCGCCGCTCCCTTCCGCCGGCGGCGGCGGCGACGCGGCGGCCGGGTTCGAGCTGCATTTCTCCAAGTACTCGCTCGAAAGTGCGTCTTTCTATTGCCTTTTCTCTTATTTTTCAAGCTCCATTTTCGTATTGTCATCGTGACAGAGTGGTTTCTTCAGAGCACGAGGCCATGGAGTCGGCTTGAAAATTTCGATTCATTCATGGATTAAGCTTGAGAATTTCGATTTGTTCTGACCTGTTGGAGCAAATTCATCGCGGACTGATTCGATTCTTGGCAGGTCTAAGGCCGGAGGAGAAGCTGGTGGATCTGGGCTCTCGTAACTTCTTCCTTTGCGCACGGAGAACACCTGCTGCTTAATTTTCAATCTGCTTTCGTTTTTGTTAAGCATCTGCTTTCTGCTCTGCTGCTTAGGACTTGTTTAGTTCCAAATTTTTTTTTTGTCAAACTTCCAATTTTCCATCACATCGAACATTTTATACACACGCAACTTTTCTATCACATCGTATCAATTTCAACCAAGCTTCTAAATTTTAAAATTTCAGTGTGAACTAAACACGACCTTAATTGATTCAAGCGAGCAGAGCATGCAACTGATCACCTGCTCGTCACGAGCTGCTGCATCACGAGCTCGTGATCATACGTGTTGTGCTTGACATGCCGTCGGCTAGCTCATCGCGACGTCGCCTCTACTGTTCATCTTTGATGGATCTTCAGAGCCGTGGAGAGACTGAACTTGTACTTTTTTTTTTCCTTTTCTCTTCTTTTCTGAAGATCATGTTTGTACTGCTAGCTGTTGGAGTGCAGGAAAAACATAATAATACCCTGTTTAGATGGGACTAAAACTTTTAAGTCCCTATCACATCGGATGTTTAAACACTAATTATAAATATTAAACGTAGACTATTAATAAAACACATATATAATCTTGGACTAATTCGCGAGACGAATCTATTGAGCCTAATTAATCCATGATTAGCCTATGTGATGCTACAGTAAACATTCCCTAATTATAGATTAATTAGGCTTAAAAAATTTGTCTCACAAATTAGCTTTCAATTATGTAATTAGTTTTGTAAGTATTCTATATTAATCTCTAAATTAGTCTCTAAATACAGAGACTAAAGTTAAGTCCCTGGATTCACACACCACCTAAGTTGCGGTAGAACTAGGCAACATGCACTGTCTCTCTCTTGATTCCCCAGAACGATCGAGGCTGAAACTGAAACTGTTCGCCTTTTTTTTTTACGACTCACACCAGACGTGCAATGTTCATATTAATAGAATAGGAAAAAAAATAAAATTATAACTGTGGGAGGCCGTAATCAGGAAAAAAAAAACCACCCAAGTACCGACAGCATCAATACATATACCCGGGAGAAGACTAGTACCGAATCAGTTGCCGCTAAGCATGACCAGCCGCCGCTAGGCCATCATGGAACTACAACCGAGATCGTCTAAAACTTAACCCTAACAACCGACACTAAACACCACCACTCTATCCACCTCTCTTTGGGATTGAGAGAGAGAAAGAGGGGGTGAGAGAAGATGTAACCGCTCTCCCCTAAGTCCCACATGGCCAACTTAGTAAGTTACATATGTTCACCTCGTACGTACGCACTGGCTGCGTTTTTGTGCTTCCTCGTGTTGCTGAAACTAAAACTGAAACAACACCTCGTGCTAAATACATTCCAAAATTATTGAAAGGCCTCACTCTTTAAGATATATGCTCGTAATACATGTATCCAATTTTAAAAGTGACATTTCAAAGCAACGGTCTTATTTGAATTAAAGCCCGAGCAAATTTCTAACCGAAAATTTTGGTCTCCATCATTTCAGTTTCGGTCTCAAGTTATTTTCGGTATCGGTCTCCGACTCCATCCCGTACGCGCTCGCACGGTTGAGAGATCAGTGCAAATCACATACGGACACGGCTAACCCTCTTCCGGTCTGAAATCCTCGTGATCACCGGCAGTCCAACACCGATTCCCGTACGTACGTACCAGCGCAAATATAATCTGTCGCGTACGTACGCTAGATCGATCGATCGATCGTGCCAACCACCACAAACTCTCTAAACCAAACTCGAATCCATCCACGCGAATTCACGTACGTACGTAACGCGCCACCGCGAAACCATATGGCGTCGTGGCCGGAGGAGGAGGAGGAGATGTACATGATCGTCCTCGGCCACGGCGACGTCCTCCACGGCGGCGGCGGCGGCGAGACGAAGCGGATGTGGGCGACATCGCAGGACGGCTGGGTGATCACCTACGACGCGGAGACCCTCGCCACCGCCCTGTGCAGGTGCAGCAGCAACGGCGGCGGCGGCGGCGCCGGGCGGCGCAAGATGGTCGTCGTCCTGCCGTCGTTCGGGCGGACGCCGCCGGCGGACGGTTCGAGCTGCACGCTCTCCGGCGATCCCACCGACGGCGGCGGGTTCACGGTGGTCATCATCGAGCCGCCGGAGGGCTCCGCGCTGTGGTACTGCCACGTCGGCTCCTCATCGGCGGCGCCGGCGAAGTGGGACAAGGTCGAGTACGACGTGGAGACCCTGTTGAGTTAGTCTAAGCTTTTTTAAGAACGGATATATCATTGCATTGATGATTGAGTGATTGATCCAGCTTTATATGAAAGCAAAGAAACATAATACTGTAATAGTCTGTTTAAAAAGATCGTCCATCGTACATATCAGACGCGTTTTGGACGATCCCATGTACTACATCAAGTAACTAGTTTTTGATGCATTATGTCATTTTTTGGTTTAGTGCGAGATCATTGTTATTCTTGGATGTATATAGTCCGCTAGTACGATTCATAGCATCCGTGGCAGGCAACAGTTGGCTAGCTATCAACGAAACTTCTGCACGGACCCAACACATATCTTCCTCGTCTTGCTTCTATCTGAAAGAAGCTGTGTCGTAGGAGTAGGCTTTGCTTCTTGCGCTGCCGCACGCACGTGGAAGTGGAACACGGGAGCTGGTGATACGTGTTGTTTCATGGCTTTCTTTGTCGTCTCTCTTTGATTGATTCGATCAGGTAGGCGCCGTACGTAGGGTTCTGAACAGACTGAAAACCTGAAACTGAACTGAATTATTGTGACCTTTTCTTTTCGAAGTAACTCCCTCGATCCGTCTCTTAAAATATAACAATATAGTTGTTCCTGATTTGTCAGGCTCAGAGGTCAGAGCAGTCTACAATATAACTAGTAAGCTGAAGCTGCTCATGATCATGCAAGTGTAGTATATACTTATCAAACACTCGAACAGGAATAGGGTAATGGTGCCATTTACTTTAATTTTAGCTGTGAATGGTGTGTTTAGTTCACGTTAAAATTAGATGTTTGGTTAAAATTTAATTTCAGCATTCACAGGGTAATGGTGCCATTCACTTTAATTATATTACATTTCGTGGAGGGGACGCGATCTGTGAATGCTGAATGCTCAAACAGTCTTAACATATAAGAGAAACGATGAATGCAGAATGCGTGTAAAACGTCTGAAACTCTCAATATAGTTTCCTGGAAACAAGAACATTCAGTGAACGGCAAGAAAAAACACCACTCCAGGCTTCCAGCTTATCCAATTCCATTTGACAGAGTCAACCAAACAGCCCACCTTGCCACTGATTGGCAGATTCGATCATACTAAGGTTCATGTTACACAAAAAAATTATGTATTACAGCTCGCCTCTATTTAGTTCAGGTACTAGTATTGTCACCGTTTTCCACCAAAAACTTGCTAACATTGCTTAATGTTAGGTGCTAAAAATCTTTGCCGCATCTTGACAAATTTAAGAGAATTTTTGTTACACTTTGCTGAGTTGTTGACAAATCTTCACTTGATTTAGCTTATCAACCATACGTAAAATTAGGGTAAATCATTAGCACATAAATAATTAAGTATTAATTATTACAAACTTTAAAAATAGGTTTATTTGACTTTTGAAAATAACTTGTATATAGAAAGTATTTAAAGAAACGTACCGCCATTTAACATTTTAAAATGTATGATAATAATGAAAAATGCGTAAGTTGTAGTTTGAAGTTAAAAGAAAAGAAATTTGCATACTCCCTCCGTATCGTAATAAAGCAATCTATTACTATGAATCTGGACATGCTCCCTATATAGATTTATAGTATTATGATACGTTTTATTTGGTATTAGGTTACTACTCCCTCCGTTTCGTTTTATTTGACGTCGTTGACTTTTTATCACACGTTTGACCGTTCGTCTTATTCAAAAACTTTTGTAAAATATGTAAAACTATACGTATGCATAAAAGTATATTTAACAATGAATCAAATGATAGGAAAAGAATTAATAATTATTTAAATTTTTTGAATAAGACGAGCGGTCAAACATGTGCTAAAAAGTCAACGGTGTCAAATAAAACAAAACGGAGAGAGTATATTATAAGATGGATGGAGTACTTATTAGACGTGGTAAACTGTGGCTGCAAGCCAAAAGAGACCCTAAGAGAATCAGAGCCGTTTATTTTGTGACAAGCTTCTAAGAGAATCTGCATCTTGTGGGCCGCGTCCATCGCACTGGTCCACTCGCCTCTCCCCTCCCCCCTCCATTCCGCTCCGATTTACCGCCTCGCCGGCCGCCGCAGTAGGCGGCGCTACGGTTATTTCGGTTAGGGTTCCGGCGAGGCCAACGCCCACCCCCCACCTCCACCTCCACCTCCCCCAGAGCGAGCCGCCGCCGCCTGTGGAGGGCCAGGGAGAGATGGTTTTCGTGTGGCTCACCGCGTTCTTCCTCGTCGTGGCGCTCATCGTGCTCGTCATCTACCAGGTGAGGGAGGGAGGGAGATAGCTAGCTACCCCCCGCCTCCTCGGTATCTCCGCCCGTCTCCGGGTCTGACCCGTACGGGATTTCGTTTGGATGGAGAGGGCTGCGGATTTGTGGATCGATTGAGGAGAAATTCTCGAATGATTTTGGGGGGTTAGAGCGACTCATGATTCCAAATTGCTGGGGTTTGGTGGGTATTCTTGGTCAGTCGAGAAGGGCTGAGGAATTCCTTTGCTTTTATATGTTGCGTGTTCTAGCGCGATACTGTTCAATGTGCGATCACCGTGGTCGATATCCCTTTGTTCTTGTTTGGGTGTAGTAAATTATGGTTTAGTAACTTACAATTTTGGTTACATTATTCATCCCTTTGGCTGTGGAATTTGGTTTAGAGAATCATTTCCTGATGTTTTAGTTCTACCCTTTTCTTTTGTTTTGCAGCTGATGTGCTTGGCAGATCTGGAGTTTGACTATATCAATCCATTCGATTCATCCTCCCGGATAAATAAAGTGGTTATTCCAGAATTCGTATTGCAAGCAGCTCTAAGTGTATTATTCCTCCTATCGGGGCATTGGGCAATGTTCTTACTTTCTGCCCCGATGGTGTACTATAACTATACGCTGTAAGTGCTGCTGTCTTCTATCCGCCTTTCAGTCTTTAAAACATTTTATAGTGCAAAATGGACCAAATGAAAAGTCCGGGACTGCTGTCTTCTTTGTCCTAAGTTATTATTTTGCCATGACTAGTATAAACAGATGAACTGAAAGTTAGAAATGGTACAGTCATTCATGTCTATTATGTGAGAACCAAAACAATAATTTGAAAATGGAAATGGGTGTTCAAGGTTGAGATACCTTTTATAAAGCTGTTTAGGCTGTTTGTTCAGAAAATTTTAGATTAAAATGGTCAGTGAAGTTCTTGGTCTCCTTCAGAAAACAAGTTTTGTACTTTACACATAATATGGTATATGACCTACTTTTGCATTGCCCTGATTTCTGACTTTTGATATACCTTAATACTGCACACGTCTGGATCTTTATTAGTGTAACTTACTAGACATCCTTCTAATATCTTACTGTATTTTCTTATCTGCATTCAGGAAGCACTAAGTTCTGATATGTGTGTCAGGCATGCTTGTTTTGGACCATGATTTTACTTTATTTGATAACTCTGAATTTCTATGTAGCTTTTTTGTGCCTCTTGTTGTACTAAGTTTTATAGGGTAAGTGGTCTTATGATCGATAATATAGGTGTATAACTTCTTATATCTTATATTTGAACAAATGAAGGGATAATGCTGGCTCCTGCATGCAGTATCTACAAGAATGCCTGAAAACTGAAAAGTAGTTCCTACAAACATCTGCAAAACCATCATATTTCATAGTCCTATAGAAAGCACAATCTATATACCCTTCCTAACTTTGTGAATATCTTTTCTTAGCCAACCCTTTTCCTCTTTGACGAAAAACAGCAGGAGAGGCAGAGGCTCCTACTGTGCTATATATATTAGATTAGATAAAAGAAAGTTATTTACAAAAAAAAAAAACAAAGAAGAAGAGGGAATTTACAAAGCAGATGCTATGCTAAATTCTTAGACGACCTGTATATTGATGCTTGGGACCCCATGTACTAGTATGGTGAGATTATTCAGTCTCGTGCTGTTTAATGTTTGTCCCAGATGAATTAATTCCTTCCCACCCACCCGGACCCATGTTCGTTGCATGTTTTCCATGCTATGGTGTTGCTTGTGGTTGATGATGTAGTGATGAAATCACGAAATTTGACTGTTATTGGTGTGTTCGTGATAAAAAACAACAACATGGGACTGAGAGAACTAGGGTGGATCTAATAGCATACAGTCAGATTTAACCATGTCAGGGAGCTACTGAGAAACTAAATATTGTAATTTTCCTGTAAGCATATTGGTGTAGTATGTGACATCATGGTTAAAGATTCTTGCCTGATTTTAGGTTGGTTTTGAATTGAGGTCTTAGAAGTTAGAATCACTTAGAAGGTAATGGGTAAATATGGTTTTAGAAGGCAGCATATTGCTCAACTTTTGTTGTTAACTATTATTTGATTATCCAGGAATGCAAATCTTTAATTCCAACCAATCAACATATATGTTATCATGTTCAATATCGGATGTAAACAGCATGCGCTATTAATGGAACAGATGTGAACATGCTGGTGTCAGAGTATCAGCACTATAGCGAGATATGGCTGTATCACAAAAGTGCAAATTTCAAGGGCTTGAACTTTGTCAGTGTATTGTATATTTCCATTAGAACTGTAGTCAGATCATCCCTTGTCACTTAGTTTTTTCCTTTTGAAGAAAGAAACATGACTGAAACATGAGTTAAGGTTCCCAGAACTGTCACCATTCTATAGAGCTAGGTTTAGCAGTTTTTTTCAGAAAGAAACATGAGTGATAAACTTGAGCTAAGGTTCCCTGAACTGTCACCACTCTATAGGTCTAGGTTTTCTGTTGATGATTTTATACTTGTCTGCTACTTAAAAGAAATCAAAAACAGTTTGTCGACTTGACTGGGAACATTTTTATGGTCTTTGCATGCTGCAGGTACCAGCGACGACAACATCTTGTAGATGTAACAGAAATATTTAATCATCTTGGCCGGGAGAAGAAACGCCGCCTTTTTAAGATAGTTGGTCTCATTATTCTCCTATTCTTGTCCTTGTTTTGGTAAACAAGCAACAAACAACCATTTGATATTTACTGCAAGTCAGCAACAAACAGAGTAGATTATAACTACCAATTGTTTGCATGTTTTGCCTTCAGGATGATCTGGACTGTATTATTGGAGGAGGATGAGTAGAATGAAAAAAAAAACACTATGGTAGCTCATATTGGCGTTCCAAGTTCCAACCATTAGTTAGGTATTACTACAACATTATCCTCATTGCATGCTGAACACCCTGTTGCAGTCCTATTAATCGATACCAAAATTGTTTTCGTCAAATGCAGGTCATCTGGAGAAGCAAGACAAGTGAAAAACATTGTGCCCCAAAAGTATTGTTGGCTTGTGGAGCTGTTTTTTCTCCGATTTATAGTGAAGCTCCTATTATTGTCGCATGTAACATGTAAATTAGGAGCTACTGGGCATCAGTTCTCGTGGGGGCAAAGGGATTAACTTCGTCGTTGTGCGTGCGTTGTCTTGCCTTGCACTGCAGAACGGCCTTGATTTTATGTTGATTTTGTGTGGTTTGATTTTTGTTTAGCAAGATCATTTCCTCTAAACTTGATGTTCTCATCTTTTGTTGTCGGTCTGAAATGCAAACACGAAGGGAAATGCCAGGTGCTATCAGCCCCAGAGCTGAGCATGTGTCCAATGCTCTTATCCGAACTTGCTCCTGAAATTTTGTGTGAACTTCGTGCTATCCCCTTTCCGATTGAGTGCTGGATCCTGACCCTTAGTGGTACGACTTCTTTTTTTGCCAAATTTTGATCAAATTTACTGCTTCAAATTTGTATTCTTGAAAACTAGGATCTGCTTCAAAATTCACTCGGGATCTACTTCCATCCCACGTCAAAACCTCAAAATTTCACAGTTTTTGATCGATTTTTGTCGAAAACTTGAACCCTGAAGCTATCTATCCACTACATCAACAGATTAGCCTTTTCATTACTAAACGGTGATCTCTCGGTGCTATAAAACCAAAAATAATCTCACTCTCAGCTTGGCAACACCAATTCCATTTCACTTCCAACTCTGAGCTTCACAGCACAAGTCAGCACAACGAATTCAACTTGTTGAGTGGGGAAAAAAATACTTTATGATGAAAAATCAAGCGATTTGCTCTTTTATTGATCTTACATATTGGTGCTCAAGTGTGTCAACACAGTAGTAAGCAAACAATCTGGCCATTAACGAAAAAGCGAGGGTAACTAAGCAATTTCTGGGACTGTCAAGAAGTACTAATTTTATTGCCCTTGTAGACTCGTGTAAAAACGCAGTAGTAGATTGATGGCACCATGGTCCATAGGCACAAGATCACCGCAAGGTGCCAAGGTTTAGTACGGCTCCACAGGGGCTCTGAATTTTTCTCCAGCGTAAACTGCAGCATCGCCCAGCTCTTCTTCTATCCTGAGCAGCTGCAACCACAAGCAAGCAACGACACAAATTGTATATATCACCAAAACAATAGTGTTGTGTGGAACCTCTTCATTGAATTTTCTGGGAAAAAAAGTCTAAAATAATTCTCTGGAAAAAAAAAATGATGCTCCTTCCAGGACAAGCAAACAGACTCCCGCTGAAACATAATACTACCTAGTGACAAGTTTGCAAATCGCCGTTCTTTGCCCAGTGTTCTATCATAGATTCCTGCTTAAACTATCAAGCCATGCTAAATGAAATGTAATTTAATTCACACACATAATCACTTCCACTATAGATTACAAAATCACACAGCAAAAGGAGTATTTTAATGGTCTTGTCGGATGAATTACTAGTAGTGGCTAGTGAGTAAGGCTCCATGAAAACAAGCAGAGATTCAAAGTGTATTTGGCTGCAAAGGAGGTAGTAATGACTAATTTGGGTTTGAGGCAAGAGGCTTACCTGGTTGTATTTAGCCAGACGCTCTGACCGACAGGGAGCTCCTGTCTTAATTTGACCCTGAAACAAAATTGTGGGATATGATGTTATTACCATTGAAGGTACTCAGAACAATCAAATTCAAGTTTAACCAAAACCCATACCGTAGACAGACCAACTGAGAGGTCAGCAATGAAGGTATCCTCTGTCTCACCACTGAAAAGATGACAAAAATAGTTAAATGAAACAAATCCTACAAACAATGAAAACAGCTGAAAGAGTTACAACTTGCAACTCTTACCTCCTATGGCTTGCCATCACTCCCCATCCAGCACGCTTGGACATTCTAACAGCCTCAATGCTCTCAGTAACTGAGCCTATTTGATTCACCTGACAGCATAAACAGATGGTATAATCAATATTGCACTACATTCAATGTCCTAGCAAAAGAACTAGCAACTCTGAACAGCATACAATACCTTCAAGAGAAGAGCATTGCAAGTCTTTTCACTAATTGCCTTGGCAACCCTCTGTAAAAGGCAAGTATTGCATTGTTAAAACATAAACTTCGAGAGAACTAACTGAGATTAGTAGCAATTAATTAATTAACTAACTGTAACTTACTGTGGGATTAGTAACAAGAAGGTCATCCCCAACAATCTGCACTTGCTGTCCAATCTCATCAGTAAGCTTGGCATAGGTAGCCCAGTCATCCTGATCGAATGGATCTTCGATCGACACAATAGGGTACTCAGAAACAAAGGACTTGTACACATCTTTCAGGCTGTCACCTGAAATTTTGTGTGAACCGTCGTTGTTCTGGTCAAGAAATTTAAGACATGTTAATACACACTGAGTTTTATTTCTTATTGTAGTTTCATGGAACAACACAAAGAACTATGTGCAGATAAAGATTTGACAAGAAGTTGCAGGCCGATCTTACATCCTCCTTGAAGTTAAGATCGTAAGTCTTGTCCTTTTCACTGTAAAATTCAGAAGCTGCAACATCCATTCCTATGACCACCTGCCATATAAACGAAATCAATAGATATTGATGAATCATAATGATCACGCAAATACAATCAAAGAGATGCTTGAATTATGAGCTAAATTAAGAGAAAAAAGGGAATTACTTTGCCTGTGTAGCCAGCCTTAGCTATTGCGGCCTTCAACAGTTCGAGGCCCTCTTTGTTTTCCTGCACATGAATATTTCAGTTCATGTATGCAACAAAAATGAAAAGTAACTGCAAATATTGCTTCACTAAGATCCAAGGGGTCGCACAATTTTGGACACATGAGACTGACCAGTGGGCCCCGACTACCATCCATCGTTAGATCCACGTATCCGGCCCAGATTAATGTTTTGTCCATAGTCCATACTACTTCGGCTGGAACGAGATTCCGGTATCGTGGTTTAGGGGTATAAATCAGATTCGGCCAATAGTTAAGGGAGCCAAAGTGAACTTATTCCTCCGGTGTGATGGTGCGGCCCATATTAGTTGGACCTGAATGGGATCAGTGGTGTTTATGCGGCCCATACCACTAGGCCCAGAACAGGGTGCGGTCCTGGCTCATATTAGTTGGGCTGGTTTGTGTACATCCGGCCGAAATTAGCCGTAGACGGCCCAAGTACGTACGGTCCAACTCGCTGTACTACTACTCTAATAAAGTATTCTGAACGGAACCAATACCACCACCTTATTTAAAACATTTGAAAACTCTTGTCAAAACTTTTAAATAAAGCTACTTAGTTTTACTAATACAGATGTTGTTTAGTTGATAGTATCTGAATAGTTTAGCTTTACTCATATTCTCAGAACATCTTAAGTGACGTTAACTGCTTATGTTTACGATCAGTTCTACACTTCTACTACTTCATAATGAGAAACCCGTCAGATTTGCCTAAAAAATACTGGGACATTCTAAGAAGTTTTATTGACTTGAAAGCCGTGCAGAGATTTATGGAGGATTACCTGAATGTTAGGAGCAAAGCCACCTTCATCCCCCACATTTGTGGCATCTTGGCCATACTTTTTCTTGATTATACTCTGTATAAAGAAGTTCAGATAACACATTCTGAAGTTTCAGATACAAAATGAAAAGGTTGATTTTTTTTTTTCACCTTCAAGTGGTGGTACACCTCAACTCCCATCTTCATGGCCTCCTTGAAAGAGGATGCACCAGTAGGGAGGATCATGAACTCCTGTACAGCAGCTAAATGAGCAGAGAATATGACTGAATCATGCATCGACATGGTCTTGTTATTCAAGCAATATTTTACCTGCATGGCAAGTTTGTTTCCAGCATGGGATCCTCCATTGATCACATTGAAAGCGGGTACAGGCAGCACGAGAGTCTTGTTTCCAGCAAGATTTGCAATGTGCTGCAATTTCTTGATGTTTTAGCATAGGTTCTGAAGTTTCAGAAGAACAAAGTTATATACCGATGCAGTTGTTTAACAGACCTGGTAAAGGGGAATCTTCTTCACCATGGCTCCTGCTTTGCACACAGCAAGTGAAACAGCAAGAATAGCATTTGCTCCAAGCTGTCATTGTTTTTACCACATCAAAGGAAGTCAGCGCAAAGAGTACAGTGTCTGATGCAATTAGATCCAAAAGCATTGTTACTACACAAGTAATGGAGTAATACCTTTTGTTTGCACCAGCCCCAGTTGTTGGAGGTTCCATCAAGCTGTTGAACCATGAAGTTATCAATGTCAACTTGCTCAGTGGGATCCTGCAACAAAAAACACCATTAGTTAAGAAAGCTATCCTTTTTTTTTCTTTGTTGTGTGTGTGTGTGTGTGTGTGTATGATATCAATAAAATCATGTAGTATGGGATGCATACCTTTCCGATGAGTGCTGGCCCAATAATAGTGTTTACATTGCTCACAGCCTGCCAAAAGAGGACATTATCACCATTAGACATGGAGGACTTACTTGATTGGCATACATAGGTGCCATCAGTTGTTAGAAAATGGTAGAAAACACCTAACAATCAGTTTTTCCAACAAAAGTTCAATGATTTTCTCGCACTTGCAAATTGAAAAATGCAGGTCCAAATAGTTCCTTTGAACCAATTTTGTGACCCACACAAGAGATAGACAAACATATGACGGTTATCTTCGTACACGCTGCCTTACTTAAACATAAATTACAGAGACTTTGGATTGTTAACTGTTCAGCTGAAATATGATCTGCTCAATCAAAATGCAATATAAACGAACAAGTTATTTATAGATTGTAAAATAGTCCTAACATTCGAGGGAAAGCCAATAAGCTAACCTTGAGTACACCTTTGCCAAGATAGTCGGATCCTCCATCTCTTAACTCCAAGGCCTCATATATTCCTACAGTCAAAGCAGGAAACAGAAAAATCTAATGAATTTTAAGTACACCTTTGCCAAGGTAAACGACAAATCTAAGATCAGCGTAAAAAAACACATGAACTAAGATCTTTAAGAAGGAAACCATCAGCGCTTGAATAACGTGCTAATATTGTCATCTCTATAAGTTTATAACAAACTGAAGATATTTCAACTTTCTTAAAAAAACAAAAACTGAAGAGGTTTCTCTTGTTTCAGTTACGGTCCACATTGCAAGTGCTTTGGGCGATGAGCTAATGAATTTCAATACACAGCCTTGACAGACAGAGATGATCGTGTTACTATTACTGTTTGAGTGTTTTCAAAAATCATCAATCCCCTGTCCCATCTAAATAACTATGCAAACATCTCTTTCCACGCACACACCAATTCATTACTGCCATGCCCAAGAATTATTGGGACCAACCATTCGATGATATCGAAGATACGCGTTTCTTGGAAATCGAAGATCAAATGGTATTAACATATAACGAATTATCACTACAAAAAAAAACACCCATTGTTCTTCAGAATGGAAGAGCCAGTGCCTCAGCCATCTGCTTACCGGTGGAAGCACCGCTCGGCACGGCGCCCCTCGCGAAGCTGCCATCGCTGAGTCCCACGTCCACCTGCGCACAGCGCAAACCCCAGATTTGAACACAAACAGAAAACTTCTCAGCGCTTCAAAATCAAGAACCGGATAGATACAAAAACAGAACCGAATCGACGCAACAAAATTTGAAATTCCAATTCCAGGGGATCGAATGAATGTCTCGCGTATACCTCCACCGTGGGGTTCCCGCGGCTGTCGAAGATCTGCCTCGCCTTCACGGACTGGATCGTCACCGCCATCTCGCTGCCGCCGCCTTATCTCTCTCTCTCTTCTTCTTCGCCGCTCGAGTTCGCGTTCGTTTTGTGGCTTCCACCTGAAGAGTCGAACTGAGACGAGCAGCGGCGGCTATTTCAAGAGGAGAGGAAGCTAGGATGGCGTGGGGCCACTTGGCGCGCGGAGATTTTTTTTCTCTGTAGGGCCCACATGTCAGTGTCTCTTGATGTACGGAGTGGTAGCTTTGATTTTCTTGGAGGAGGGGGAAGAAATCCGATGATTTCCTGGAGCTCACATCATTTGATTTCTTCCCAAGCTAATCTACGAGTATTAGGCTGCAAATCATTCGGCAAATTATAACTATTAGTATTTGTCCATGTGTGTGCACGAATTTAGCAGGTACGAGAAGGAGGCGAAGTGGCATTTGATCGTCCAAACCAAGATGACGATTTTGACAACGAATAATGCTGATAGAAATTTAAAAGAAAAATGCTAGCTAGGTTGTTCCAATCGGCAAGAGAATTCTGTCCAGGAAGCAGGAACAGATCATCCAGAGAGCTTAAGTTAATTAATCTCCCCTCCTTTGGACAAATGCGCCTTTGCTTTGTCTAGAAATACTGCACACCTGGCACTGTTTGTTTAGTAATTAAGTTGCTGTATCCGTGCTTCACGAAGCAAACGATATCAGAGTTGAAAAAATATGTGTGAGTGTGTGCGTGGTATGAGCGCTTGTGTTTTTTTACCTTTTCAAATAAAAAGAAAAAATAAAAATTTAGAAGGTATTGTAATAAACTAATAATACTCGATCGTACCGTTCCATGCATGTATATTGGGTTGATTCTCAACTCAAAGGCAAGAATCAAAGCTGACAGATGCCAATGAAACAACATAACAACTTAGGGTCAAAACTTTGTCAAAAATGCTGCTCAGGTCAACCGCAATTCTTTCGTCCTCGGTCACTTTTATTCTATTGACGTAACCGAGGTCATTCTCATGTGATCGTCCATTTCAAGGTTGGTTCAGACAAAGTTCGGACAAAAAAAAATGAAACAAATGCAATACTTTCTGTTACATCAACAAACAGCACCATTATAAACGAAAATTCTTTTTTTGAACGATTTTGACTTTGCATTTGTAATTTCGTTTGATCTTTTTTTGGTAAAAATCAAGATGGGCTTTGGGCCTTCGATAACCTATGCCATGTCAGTTAAAGACCAGGACAACAACACCACGTAAGCATCACGTAGCACGAAAACGCCATCCAAACCGTTAAGGGACTCATTTTGCAATGGTTTCATAAGTTTTTGGATCTTTGAATCCGATTTTGAGGTTGAGGGACGTGAACAAAAAAAACTCAAAAGGGACCCAATCGGACAAACTGGATGGCCTGTGGCAACCGTGACGGGAGACTTGTTTCGGCCCAATCGGCTGGAAATTTCGAGAAAGAGCCCAAACAATTCACGGGCCTTATCGGCCCACTCGCATCAAAGGATAGAGCCACGCTTACAATTTCTCGTAATTTTGGGGGTTCATCTGAATAAAACACAAAGCAGAAGAAGAATTGGGGAGATTGCAGGGGCTTGGATGTAAGATTTCCTCACACTCCCCTCCCCTCCCCTCGCGGCATCTGCTCGACGGCCGGCGACCACCGCTCGCCGCCGGCGATGGCGTCACGTAAGCACCTCGCTGGTTCCCCTCCCTCTCTCTCTCTCCGTACCACGGTTGGACTCACTCCCCTAACTCTGCCTGCTCTTGCTCCCGGCGGCAGTCTTACTCGAGCAGCAGGAGAAGCTGCGGCGGCACGTCGACGAGTGGCGGTTCCGGTGCCGCGCGGCCGTCGCCGAGATCGGGCCCCGCTCCGCGTCCACCTCGGTGTCCTCCGCCTCGGTCAGGCTCCGGGTGGCCCCCACCGACCCCGGCGTCGGTGTGGGCGCCGCGTCCCTCTTGACCGCCGCGGCGGCGGCCGAGGACAACGTCGACGTCTCCAAGTTCGTTGCCGTGCTCTCCCACTCGTGCCTTGAGATATCCCGCCTCTCTGATGCTGTAAGCGCGCTAAAGTTGATCCGTTTATCTCGAATTTAAATGTGACGTGTTACTCAATTTTAAGCTTGTGTAGGATTACTTCTTGTCGATTATGTTCCATGATCTTTGATTTTTGCTATTCAATTATGGGACTCACTTTTGGAGTAATTTTGTAGTCAATTTAGTATCAGTGGCGATACTAGGATGCAAAGTCAATTCAAATGCGTCAAATGAGAAATGTTACTTTCTGAAATGATTGCAAGTGCTTAATGAAATATCCACTATCTAAATGATGTCAAATGCAAGCCATAAATGATGGGTGATTGCTGCTTTATTACCTTTTCCTTTTGAAATGTTATTGTTACAATGTTGAACACATGCAAGGAATGCAAGCGATAAATACAGTATGTGATTGCTACCTTATTTTCCATTTCTTTTCTAGGCGTCAAGTAATCTCTATCGGCAACTGCTCCTCTTTGGGCACACTGCAGAGGGACCAAATGAGGCACTTCTGGAGGGGGAGCCACAAAAGACATTTGCACACTCAATTCCATTGTTACTTGAGGTGTATGAAATCATCAATGGGCTGGTGATGATCCTTGGGAACCTGCTCCGGCAGCTGGACGCAATCTGCTCAGTCCGTGACAAGAATGTGCGTCCATTGAACTCATTTAAGGGTTTAGATTTGACAACCGTATTTGGATCACTTGGCGAGGGGCTTATGGTGTTCCTTTTGGTAGATGAAATTTTGAGGCACAATGGCAATACCAGGAGTTACCTATCTCTATTCTCAAGGTATTAATGGTCTCTAGTTTATTAGGTTCATTTGGTCTGGGTCATTCTACACATGCAGCCTGGGAGTATTAATTACATATGTAACACTGAAAGCACATCTTTTAGTTTCTCGGTGGGGATATAATTTTTCAATGGACAATATGTTCAAAGAACCATCCATAACTTACCAACACTGATAAGTGGTGTCTTTTAACATTCATTAAACACTTATAATTGGTGTCTTGAAAGTTAAAATACGGAGTATTAATTGTTATAAAACAGGTAAAATTTCTTAAGATATCTAGATAAAGATTGACTCCAAAGTGTTTCAGTTATGTGTCAATGGATAGCTTAAAAAAATTGTTGTGGATCTTGGTGAGCTATCATTGAAGTATTTTCTTAATGCTATAGCCAAAGTCTTCTACTTTTGCTTGGTCCATTGAGAAAATATAATATCAAATGATATGCTATCCACCCATGCAACTCATTATCATCATGCATCAATATGTTCAGAAAATTGACCTTTGGTTTCCTCATAGGATGCTGGACAAGGTGAAATCTGAGGTCGATGTATTTAGTATGTCATTCGAGGATGTAGATTTCCTTGATCAAGTTGTACACAACTTACAGAAACTTTTTGACATTGGCTTCTTCCAAGTGAGTGTTGCTGCATCACCTTCATGTTCTTTCATTATTTTCTTTTATAAACATATAGCTTAAATTATTCTTATGTTCATGTCACTGTATTTTTATTTCTATGTCAGCGGTTGGTGCAAGAAGATTCACCTTTGTGCTCTTCAATAACCCTCGTTAGATCTAATAAGAAACTGTTAGACACATTTTATTCTTTCTTCTCTGAGAGCAGTTCTGAGATCATTCAACGCATCGGTGAGCAGCGTGCAATTTTTTTTAGTTCAGTACATTTACTTGTATGTTTCAAATGCCTGTTAGTTATGTTATCCAATAGGACCAATATTGATTTTTACACTTCAGGTTCTTTGAAGGAACTCCCCATTGATCGAAGGACTATACTCCATCTTCTAGGCCTTTTTTTGTTCTTCACAACGACAACTGGTACTTGATGAATGTTCTTGGTTATTAATACCATTATATATGTTCTTTTCTAGTCCTCTTGCATGCATTTCTTATTTTGCCTTCTCCGTGAAATAATTCTTCTTGTCTTAGATACTGTATACACTATTATTTGTACATTCCTTTTGCCTTTCTATTCAGCTTAATTTTTTAACCAATAATTCAAGTCAACCTATCATTGTGCCTCATAATAAGATTGCTAAGATTTACAATGTTCTGAAATTTCATATTTTGTTAGGTGAAGCTCCTGATAAGAAATCAATGAACCTGTTAGTGGAGATATTTCAGTTGGTTCCAGTGGTCTATGTTGAAGGTGGAAAGCGTATTGTGCTATCTGACTTAATTAGGTTTCATTGCTCTCCATCACTTTCTTTGTTGCCACCCATTAAGGAAGCTTGTGAAGCTTTTGGTATCATGAAGAATAGCTATCTGGCACGGTTAAATGAAATGCATTCAAGGTAGGACTATTTGGTCATCTTTACATATCAATCTTAACAGGATCCCTTTCGCTCGACATTCTTAGCCACTACAATTACTATTTTCTTTACCTGTGGAATATTTAAATATTGAAGCTGTATGTCTCATTGACTTACATAAGTATATTTTGGGAGATAATCATCAGAGAGGGAACATTTGGATGGGTTACATGCCTTGCCTATTTTGCTCTTCTGCCAGGACCAATTTAGCATTAGCCTGTCATCTCAACATGACATCCTTCCAAATGGCCCTTTCTGCTAAGTGTTCAGTATAATTTCGGGCACTTCAGTTTTACTGTAAGTGTTGTTTGTCATGTGCAGGGATATTCAAGCCATAAATGATTCGTTATCATGCTGGTCTGTTTCATTCCAGTCAGCCATTCATCCATCGGTAAAATTTTTTTACATTTCTGGGAACTGTACTAGATTATGTGTTTTGATCTTTCATGGTTTCAGTCGCAGATGCTGACTGAAGAGTGGGTTCGACATCTCCAGAAACAAATTTTGCAGGTCATATTCTAACTTTTATTCTGCTTTGTGTTTTGACTCTTTCCTAATGCTGTCATGTAAATCCATTGAGACCGCTAAATTTCCAAAATACAGAGGATAGAAGAACTTTGCTGCCCTTGTTGACCTGCAAAATGGTTTCTTACTTTCATCAAGTTCTTTGTGTTTTATGTGGCTTAATTAGTATTTCTGAGGCATGATTGTTGAGCATGAATGCCTTTTGATCCTTTACGAAGAATATAATTTTG